CAAAACCCTTTCCATATTAAAAAAAATCTCTTATGAAAGGCAGAATCGATTGTACGATTCTGACTATATCATGAGCATGTGTTTGTGAATCACTATCAAATAGTAATGATACCTGGTGTTCGAGAAAAGATGTGCGTATCCTGCCCCTTCGTTGGGGAAAACCACAGGGAGAGGGAATAGCTATATAGAAAGAACAGAAGTACATCGGGATACCGTACAGTGAAACAATAGCGTCGTCGTGGTATAAAACTAATTCGATCACAGCAGGCGAGAGAAAGATCACGTGCAGCATGCAAACATTATATGTGAGGTTGCATGTTCGATTCACGTCATCAAATTTTCACCAGTCAAAAATCAACATTATATTCATATCAAAAGGCTGTTTATACAATTGAACTGTAAAACCTAGGGGTTACAATTCAAATGTAAAATCTCTCAGCAGGTCTCACTTCAAAACTATACCTCTCACAAGGTAAACGTGGCAGTGGATTGTTAAACAATGGTACATATTGTTTCCCTGCCTGGCGTTCGGCATTAGGATGATAAAGCAAGGACTGGTAGGCTCAGCGTATAATGTGTCTGAAAGGGTTAGTACCATAGAACCGGCATACGTCCGGATGATTACAAGCAGCCACAAACACATGTACGTCGCAATATAAGTGATATGATCTTGAACACAACGTTAATCCCTGTTTTATCCGAACCCAACACTTCGCATTTACTAATTTACAAGAAAGACTGAGTGACCTTTCTTAGTTTAAAACAAGTTTGTGTTACCTCTGACCTTTATACGTTGGGAAACGAAACAATAAGCTGTTGATGTCAAATGGCATTTCTATAACGATGTACCATCAGCTTCGAAAAGAATTGATATAAAATAGGTAAAACAACTGAATAATTATGTTCCATGATCACCCCCCGAGAAGATCTTGGTCTTCAGCAACCTAAAGAGGCGACTAAAGGCATCGGATGGATAGGCTGGCTGACTTGATTGATACATGTCATCGTATCTCGATGCCTACATCATGATTCATGATATCAATCACCTGATTGTTTGGTCCAGACTCGTTTATTTACAGAGCGCCGTCATATAGCTTGAATGTTGCTGAGTGTGGCGTTTAACAACAAACAAACAAACATACATGAACAACAACATGACACTTCCAGATCGAGGATACTTATAAATCAGACACTTTAAAATGTTTCTGTCATCTTTCTTCATTCAGTGCGTCGTTGTTTTTCATATTTCTCATATTAACAAAACTTAAAAGAACCGGAGTAAACCTATACATTTGCGCATCCTATCAGTACAGGTTTAAACTGTATTGTCAAGTGAGATGTTTCAGGAAGGTGTACATGGGAAAGTGAAGCAATGAGTTCCCTGTTTACGTTCGTGTAGAGACATTGGCATAGTGTACCGTGTAGTTCATGTAGTGTTTACAATAGCTGTCCATGAAGCTAGATGCAATGTATGCTTGTGTAGGACATTGTAGAAAAGCACAGTTACAAAGGTATGGACATACATAACCTGAAGGCTGATGTGGCTTGTCAATGCATTTTAAAAGGGCGATCAGCCAGGAAGGTAAGAAAAGTGGATTTACGTCCTTGTGTGAGTCGTCTGCTCGGCTCGCTTTCCCCTGACAATGTCTTCCAAAGGGGAAATCGCATTGCGTACACTTGCAAACAAAATAATGGAGCTAGATGGTATTATGGACAAAACTGAAGCCAGATTTTAAAACGACAGGGACGCGAAGGGGCCATGTGAAGAAAATGAAAAAACCGACAGCGACATGAAGCTATTCAGCAACTGTTACAATTTGAATGTTATGATAAGTAATTCGAGTTTCGACCCTCGGGCTGATGTGGACATGATTTGAAACTGCCTTATGATAATCTCTAATAATCTCACATAATGTCTATATTGGATGTATGTGTATTAATCACATGAGGAGCTATCACTTATATACAGCTAGAAATTAATAAAGTACCCCCTGTTCTTTCGACCATGTATGTCTAACAACACAGTATCACTCGTGTCCAGTCATAATACTGATGGAAAAATACATGACATCTGGACGATAATGCTCTTGACATCGATGATGATGGCAATGTTCAATATTTCAACTCCGTGAATAACAGTTTCGAAAGTACTGTAATTGAGTCCAAATGGGAACCACAACAACTAAGGATATGGCATGTTGAATATATACACAACGGATTACAGCAAAATGAACAGAGCTCAGTCAGTACTCACCTCTCCCATCAACACCTCACAAAGGTACGGTTCACATAATCGAGGCAAACGTTGTTTGCTTTTGAGCTCATTGTAAAAAAATCTGTTTCTCAAGTTTCAGATCTCCTGGATACACCTGTTAGCTGGCATTCCATATGAATAAGGTCACTTGCGCAACTATGCATTTATACATTTTGAGACTTGTCAGTGCGACGATGAATGTGAACTAAACGATCTCAAAGTCCCCTCCACACACACACACACACACACACACACACACACACACACACACACACACACACACACATACACACACAATCTCACGAATTAATGTAGATCAAGCAATTTAATCAGTATTTAAATCGAAAGAGATGACTCTTAAACATAATTTGAAAAATGTAGAAACATTCCTATCCTAAATCCAAGCCCTATGTAACATGACAATACTTCCAGCTTTGTTTTATCCTATGCAGATATTGACAACAATGACAAATACACACGCTTTTAATGTGTAATCACAAGGTTTGATTTGGCGTGGCTCACTAAAACTGGCGTGCATCAAATTCAGTAACAAAATTGGGAGTATTATTTTGAATTGATTAAAAGGGTTCAGGTGACTCGCAAACAGATTGTTTTTCCTGTGATTATTTTCAGACACTTTGCTTACACTCTGACGTCCAATAATTATTACGACAAGATGATATATAGAAGACTAAACGAGCTCCCGTGTAATACAAATTTTATGAAACGAGTGAATAGTTGTGGTATCTGACGAGCTTTCGCTCGTCAGGTACCACAACTATTCACGAGGTTCATAAAATTGGTTTTACACGGGAGCGAGTTTAGTATTTTATTTATTACTTGCCATTAATAACGTTTTTGGAATTTTACTGTTGAGTATGAATAGGCTGACACCTACACGATCCCCGGCATAGTCCAATTGAGTTTAACAGAATAATACTTCAAACACGTCAAAAGTTGAAACGTATGAATTTAATGCCATACAACGGTCCACCTTTAGAAGAAACAAAATTATCGTAGGGCTAAGACTATCGCAACTCACATACTTTAACTAAGACTAACGACTGTCGTTGCGCTACAATACGATCGCCTTGTGGAACGGGCCTTGCACCTCAAAGTTTACAATAACGTCACAATACCCGATGACGTAACTTGTGGAATTTTGTTGCAAGATCCATCGGCGAAACAATGCCATGTGACGTCAGCCTAGCAAAAAGGTTGCTGGGGTCATCGAGTGTGTATAAGCTCCTCTCAGTGATCTATCAACCCCACACGCAATGTCGTTGAATAAGCCAAGGGATGTTGAGAGCTTTCAATATTTGTTCTCGAAACGTGTCCCGAGAGTACATAAGCACGCGTTTTGGTATTACACAATGTGTAATACAGCTGTATGTTAATTAAACAGGTGATCTCTTCACGTGCAAATAATAAATAGGGATATCACATGCAAACTATACAAAACGTGAAAGCAAATATGAGAGAAAAAAATTGACATAGACCAAATGAAAGAGATCCACCCTTTCAACTGCTATGATAATGAAAAGCGGAACCTTTTGCATGTCACATCCTTGTTTGTCTCGGGCACTCTGAGGGTTACTTTGTGTGTGTGCAGAGCTGTCGTGGGGGGTTTTCCTTAAATATCTATTTTAAACAAATATATCTGGAGATTAAGTGAAAACTGGTTTATCATAGGTTCACATTTCATATAAAAAACGTCAGTAGAGTGGCTTCGATTTGTTACACAGAAAGCCGTCTCAGGCTACTGGGTCACCCATTCCCCTGCATTTGCCTGATGTAATGTACGAATGAAAGTATGAATAAAACGTCCCTGCTTGCTTATAAACTGCTGAGTTAACTGAAAGTAAACACCTTACCTACGTCAGGTACGTGACAGTTATAAGAAGGTTTGGGAAGGGGAAAGGAAACACCCCACGCAGAATGTACAGTTATAACAGCTGTATCCTGATATAGTCCACATTGACACATAGCATTGGAACCTTTTCATGGTATTATTTGCATACTAACTATATCAGATGGATAAAAATATAATAGATAATAAACGCTGTTTATCCCATGTTATAAATATATATTCTCTCTATATATATTTATAGAGTATACTTATATTCCTACTTCGACCTCAGCTGATGTTCTACCAGGCATGACATATGAGCTATTTATTACAATAGTTATGTTCTTTCGGTTTCAAATCTGAAGGGCAACGGTAGATGAAATTGTGGTTCCATCGGAATGCTGCGTTTACACGATTTGTATGCGTTCTGGCAATGTCGTGTTGAAAGATGATGTTAGCTTGGTTCATAATGGAAGTAACGTGCAGCTGTAAGATTTCATCACAAAAGCCTAGGACTGTCAGATTGTCTCGCACTTACAAAAGAATTGTTCTGATCATGAGATAGAGATCTCCGCCCGAGATAGCCTTTGTGACTGTGGTCGACGTTTTATCACATATGCCCACCGCAATCAGACTTTCACTGCGTACAAGCAGCAGAAAACTACCACACAAACATAGCCAGCACCGAGTCCCGATCCGCCTCCAGATGAGTAAGTGTCGACATCGTCGGTAGACGTTTGTACCACCACCAAGAGCCCTCCAGGCACCCTGGATGGACTAGTCCTTGCGCTCCAAGAAAGGTGAGACAGGATACCGCAAATGGCAATTTGGCGTTGGATCAAGAGCATGCCACGTAGTATGAACGAATCCTTGTTGAATCATGACATGAACACAATATTCAAATATTGTTTTAGACAAAGCAATTTACAGTACAATTATGGATTATTAAAAATTGTTTGAATTAAGTTGATGGAGACATTATAAATTGAAGAAAAAGATTGACAATAATGTAAACTAAACATCGACAAACTTTCATCCCTTGCGGAAAAATATCACTGACCATGTAACCATTTCAACACATTTAGTCATTCATTTACCGTTGCAAAGTTTGTCGTGTCTGAAGAAAGTAACATGCATCGCAGGCAAAATAATGTAAATCTTCATAGTATATATGATATTTCAATATTTTGAAAATTGACGATTGGAAATGATAAAAAAATTATGCTTATGAATGAAATAATGGTAAATCACTGTCGGTGTTTTTTGAATCAGTATAGTAACTTGCCGGTATAAACTGACATTCCGCTAATGTGTAATCCCTCATGACGTTCACTTAACATGTTTTTAACGTCACTAGAATTGGTTACAGGTCAATCACTGATATGTCAGACAAATTCAGTTTCTGGAATATGTGTTCGAAGACCATGAACTTTTTTCAAAAGAATAATTCCGACACTATATGTGCAGCACATCTGTGTAGATTATTTAGTTGTTGTTTCGGTGTCACAGATTGGCGTAGATGTTGGAAGCACGGTTATATTCCTTCACCATGTTATAGCACAGCTTGTACTGATCCTGCAAATAACAACCATTGTCACAGGTAGATAACATGTCCTTAGGCATGGGCACTACTGTTTATAGAAATATACAAAGATGCTGGTTTGATTATCACAAAAACAATTGGAGGTTTACTCCCTACAATATCTCAGTGTGTAAATATGTAATTTACAACATTTAACAATGCATAACTCATAATTCAGACACCTATTTATAAGTATGTTTGGGTATCGTAATTTGCAAGTATGGCCTTCCATTTGTGATTGGAGGATTGAATGCTGAATAGAACTGAAATGCAACAGATCTTGGAAGATCTAACTCATCAACCTTGGTAACATCAACCAAGATTAAATTTATTGCTTCCTGACGTGAAGAAGTACATTTAGGCTTGTGGCAGACATTTTAACGATTGTTTTTCATTTTTGCTAAATTTTTAAATTTACAACGTGAACTGCCTGTAAACTGAAACAGTTATTGCACTCACAAAGGACCGAATAAACTGAGGTCTGATACGCTGCAGTTCCCTGATGGTGAGGAAGATGTCCACGTCTCTGTCCAGCCTCAGTCTGCTGATGATGTTCAGGACACTGCAGAACACGCCGCTCACGACAGCACCGTCACTAGTTCACATAAACCATCACATCATGCCTGAGCAGTTATGCAAGCTTTGACATCTTTGGACAAGCATTCCGATTAAGCATGTTTCAATTTGAAGTCATTTTATACACATACATATACTATTATTTTCAATTATTGTGTATCTACCATTGTGTTCTTGGCACGGGGACCCATTCATCAATCCGTCACGGTTTTGTATAAACGTCGTCCCTCCAATATGCACGCTTTGTGGTGTAGTCGGCAACGGATTGAACCTGGGCTTGGTTCAGGGGTGGGGGAAAGCAGAGAGTACTGGACATATACTAGTACTCTACGCATTGCTTTAATATTAAGTAAAGACACCAGGGCTTCCATGGTGATATTCAGCTTCATTCCATTACTTGACAAAACATGGACACGCGTCACCACCACACTGCATAGTAGCTGTATGTATTAACAGATGACGGGGCACATCATGTATCCACTACAAATGAAGTGTATTTAGGATGGAGGATATAATTCTTATGATGTATTTGCTTATCGTATTGTAAAACGGGACCAGATACCAACTAAATACATACTGGCAGTGGATGAGGATCTTATGGTCGTCAGAGCTGATGATTGTGTCCACCACGTTGATCAGCTCCATGAGTGATTCGGTACTGGACATCATGTCCTGGGATCGGAGGCGGAACACTGTGACTGACAGCTCGCTGTCCTAAACAGGGCCAGAAACACCACTCTTAACGGGGATGTTCATAAGCAAATCTCCAATAAACACCCTTTCTTCAGTGTTACCAACCCAGCTTCCAGTTGCAAATACAATTTCAACAATACTTTCTAAACATATTAACATATCATGTTGCGGGAATTGCAACATTTGTGATGTTTCAGCATATAGTTATATTCATTGTGTCATTACATGGATTATACGAGCATAGTTAACTTTAAGTGATTGCTTTGAAATAACAAAATTAAAGAACCAACCTCCTTGTCATGTACAAGCGTCAACTGTCTCTCTGTATGGAATGCTCCATTTGAATTGGTTTCCACGTGTATCACACTGAATGGTCCACTTTGTAACACGTTATTGTCTTTCGGGTACAGTTCATCTGTCTCCTGGATGAAAATATATAACACGCATAACATAAATCCATAATATATATGGTAATATTGCTTGGATAGTATATGGTATCATCGTATATCATCATGCTTGTATGGGGGCGGTCGAGAAGCCTCGTGGTTACAGCGTTCGCCCGTCACGCTGAAGACCCGGGTTCGATTCCCGACATGGGTACAATGTGTGAAGCCATTTCTGGTGTCCCCCGCCGTGATATTGCTGGAATATTGCTAAAAGCGGCGTAAAACTAAACAAACTCACACACTCACACACTCACACACTCACACACTCACTCATGCTTGTATGTACATTGTGTGGACAGACGGAAACACTTCGGATCTTGATATCCGAATGTAGAACCACCTATAACATTTACCTGAGAGTCATCCAGGCAGACAACTGTAAAGCAGTCATGGTCGTACACCAGTCTCCAGAAGTCCACTACAGTGTCTGGCAGGGGGGTCTGGGTGACTATCATAGTCGATGGTCGAAGGATGGACTAAAAAAATGAGAGCAACCAATTATATACCGACACATCCCAGTGCATGAATCTCAATGCTTGTCATAATTCATATTTTTCTAGTTCTGTCAATCTGAATGGTTCAACGTCACACGACAAAAGAAGACTTAAAATGATTAGATTTAACTGAATTTGTCATTCATTTGTGATCTTGTGATTGAATCTTACATCTAACAACTGCTAACCAACTTACTGGCAAAAACACTGCATTGATGTAGTCATTCCGACCCTGAACTGGAGTACACAGGTAGGGCCTGGATTTGTTTCCTGCAACAATGTCACACTGTTCAGTTAGGAAAAGAGTATCGTTCATTATTATTCAAATATCTCATCGACAAGATCCACATAAAGCTTGTAATGTGTAGCAAGGTAGAGGCACCATTACGATCAGATGTTAATAGGCTAAAGCAGAAAACACCCTCATTTATATTGTGTTAATTGCATGCGAACATGGCCAATTTGATTAACTATGTGCTGTTATATATGTTTCAAGAAGTCTGTACCCGGGAGAACATGCCGGTTCCTATTTTTGCCCGAGTTCTCTGGAAGCAGTGCTTGTGAGTTTATATCTTCTTCGAGGTCAGATGTTTGTTCTTGGAGTAACTAAAAAACAAACAAGCAATCGCTTTTCTTTGTCGTGTTTATCGTTATCATACACTGATTGTATCACGCAACCATGTTTCATAAACAACATGAATAAACAAAATCATCTACTAGAAAAAGAGAAATGAAAGGTGCCACCACTATATCGACATTTACATACTTCAAATTGCTCTTTCAGATTATCCTCTTGGGGTGTTGTAAACGTTTCACCAATACCAAACGTTTTGTCAAACTCAGACAACAGAGTGTAGTGTGTCCCTCGACTATTGAGAGCCTCCAGGACCACATCATGCACAAACTCGTACTGGCTCTGAATGAAACATACATGAATGTATTATTACAATTTTAACTGAAACTGTGTTAAAGTACTGATCAAAACAAACTAGTCATTTTATCAGCATTCAGATCTAAATTTTAAGCCTTCTCTTTCAAAAAGAGAGAAAATATAATCAAATGGACAGTTTACGTACAAACCAGTTGTGTTCAAAACTTAAATTCCTGCCAAACCGATTTTCACGCAAACCTTAAAAAGAATCACGTACTCACCACTGTCTGAACCATGTTCATCCTGTTCTGTCTCATCTTGCTGACACACATGAATACATTGACTCTGTGGTTACTTTCAGCTTCATCAATCAGGTAGTCCAGGGCAAGGAAAGCTCCTGTTCGGCCAACACCAGCGCTAAACATATGCATGTCACAGAATAGAAATCTCAAGTTGTAACTGATAAATTCATGTGTCACACCTTGTATTGTCCACGTATCGCCTTTCTACTTTGGTACCTACAATGTGCCACAACATGTTCTTATTCACCTCTTTTTAACATCAGTGTACGTACATGGATCTCCTGTAAGCAAATAAATTGATTCACTATTGATGATGCCATCTACATACAAGTTAAGGAAGAGGAGGGGCAATGGCCTAAAGCTAAGTGTGCACATGTACAAGCATGCGCCCATCCCTACGCATCCACTGTGATTACCTATCATTATAACAAACATAATACATTTGTCATTGTGGCCACTGCCACTGACACATATGAACATCTACATCGCAACATGTGTCGACTTCTAAGTTACCTGCAGTGCACCACCATAGGACCCCTGTCCATGTCCCCCTGTTTGACCAGTCTCCAGAAGTTGACGAGGGCAGGGGCAGAAGGAACACCATGGTCAGGCCAAGACGTGAAGTGGTAATGAGTCACAGTCCTCTCGATGCCCTGTAGACAACCGGCTTACACTTATATTCAGGATATAAGGATATATTATCACACAAACTTGTCTTTGAACACATTTATTGCCACTAGTGGTTAATATTGGTTACCAGAATGCCTGCAATACCAAAACGAGGATGCCGATGTTTATGGTTATGCCAAATAATGTGTGATCGTATAAAAAAAAGAGTATTTGTGTGTAGAAATATTGGTAGACAGTAGTACCAGTATTAAAAGGTATGTTTTTCTAAAACTAGTCGAAGTTTATTCTGTAAGTATATATTAAATGACACTGGTGGTTAACATGTTGTTACATGGTGCTGAATCCGTAAATATTTATACTTACGGAGTTTTGGACCAGAAACGTGGAGACTGTGTAGTCCGACCTAGCTGTCACAGTTTTGTTCGTAACTTTACAGGCTCCGTAGATTTCAGTTTTGGCCCTACCTGGCCAATATCGTTCACACTTTTTCTGGCAAAAGACAAAAATAAGGAACAGTTAAGATATAAATAATATGCTAAGTATTTCTGTTATTTCCAAGATTAAGTTAATGACCCCTGAATCATATTCTACCTTGTTCATCTCCATCAGCCTGGTCAGAATGACTATCTGTGTGACGTCCTCCTGCCACACCATCCGCCAGAAGTCAGTGACTGTCCCCGGTTTGGGTCCTGGGTGCAAAACAGTATGTAATAAAAACCGCTCCTCGGGGAAATATCTCATATGTTCCATTTAACTATAATCATATCGTTTGCTAAATACATTTGAAAAACATTACAATGAAAGTAAACATATCATATATAGCATATAGTTCGTACCTTGTGTTGCTATATACTTTGGAGTATCATCATATCCCTGTAAAAGATGTACACTTACCATTAGTTTTTATTGTAATATCGATAAGTTCAATATTAAACTGTACACTCAGTCAGCGATGTAACTTATTATCCTCATTTTTAATCATGTAAGTTATAGAAAGCACATCAAACTGGAACTTGAAACTTGAGATCAACATTTGAATTATTGATCATGATTGCCATCATTATGTAAGGAATATTTCTATCCACTCACCATGATATAATTGGCATTAATGTAATCCTCTCCTTCCGCCAGCACAACCCTCGACTCATCATCTGATTCAAGTTAAAACTCAGCATCAAGAATAATGAAGTACATTTGTCATTCCAGTCACAAACATCCAAAGTGCCTATAAAGCTGGCTAGATTTTAGCGTTAATAGCTGAAACTGTAATGGTTTATTACTTTACAAAAAGAATTTGCGAAAGTGAGATCATTTGTCTCAAGAGCATACAAACGTTAACTATACTATTTATTCATAATCACTATTCAGACTGGTCAATTACCGGTGTCGACCAAGCTTGTTTTTAATGATGGCAGTACCACAATACGAAGATTCTGGAAGTCATTCTTTCTAAAACCCGATACAGTGAGGTATTTCAATTACTGGTTACTTGATAAACATTCCGCCGTCAAGTCCTCACCATCACTGTCTGTATTCAAATCATAAAATCGAGGCAATTATATTAAAAAAAACTCACCCTAAGATTGTTATAATAGCGAGCGCACATAGAATACCATGTGTGTTATTGTCAGCACTATATAAATGCATCTGCTATTACAATAAAAGGAAGATTAACCTACTGACTAATGACTTTATTTTATGCGTTAAGTAACATACACAACATGATCATGTTTTACTTACACGCATATAGAGCAAGAAATCGGTTCTTCGGCTTGTTCTCAGTCGTTTTACCAGCATCATGTGGATATCTTGCACCATATGGAATCGTCTGAGGCAAATATGGACACATAATACGTTGTGCAGGGGTATATGGACATACAAAGAGAAGGAATTCATACACATGATACATTGTATTGCATTTTATTGTAATGTGTACGTGTATTGGTATGTGTGTGTTCTTTACTATACACAACCCTACATTCCTGTGTGCATAGCGTTTGACTTAGCAGATAAAAGCAGTTGCAGCCAAATAGAGTAGGCAGTCCGATGGCCCATAGAAAAACTTGACTGTCAGCTGTACTGATGCCAAGCCTTGGGACTATTCCTAAATAACTATTATCGGTATTTGTGCTATTCCACTTATGTTCAAAATATAACATGATTATTTTGATAATAGACACGGAAAATGTATTGAATCTGAAAAATCACATTCAAACCCTGGCTTTTGAGTGATAAACAAGTATCACGCAAACATATACTTTGACATAGTGCAAACAATCCATGTTTATATTTGCATGTCAGAATAGCATATAACATGAATAAGTGAGGTACGTTCGCAGATAGTTATGATAAACAAACCTTAAATTCGGTTTCAAATGAGGCTTTTTTCTTCTTCTCACTTATACACTGTTTCAGGTTGTCCAGCCGCATGTGAGGTGGTACCCAGTTGTAGTAGGTGGCGGCAGCATCGTTGTCGCCGTCTACTTCAGCCTCAACAGAAAACATGGCGTCCTCGTCTTCTTCCATTGCAGGTGGCTTTGGAGTGGATTTACTCGCGGATTGTTTATCTGAAAGGGATACAAGTATTTGATATCAGTGTCATTGTTCCCCAAGAAGACTGGAAACGAACAGCATGATCAACAAGCTTATTTTGGTTGACAAAACAACAGTGATTTTACCTTTACTTGCTGCCCTAGAAAGCACTTCCAGTGGGACCGGCAATCTCGAGTCATCCTCTTTCCGTTTTCTCCTATGAAAATTATTTTCATTAAACTAATACATCAGTTAGGACATATTACCCAACATAATGTTCATGTGGTATTTCAACATACATTACAATGTCAGAAAACATATGAGAACTGTATACGCAATAAAATATTACTAGATAAAGAATGCTATTCTAATATATATGTTGAATCTATATATTGTGTAGAGGAGTTACCGTTTCCTGCAAATGGCAATGGTCACAATAACAGCAATGACTACAACAGCTGCAACTGTCCCTCCAACAATTCCTGCTACAGAACCTCCACCAACAAGAGCTTTCAAGAAAAAAGAGTCATCATGAACAATGTTACTGCAACACATTGCAAGTTCATTACAAATAACAAAATAATACTTGGTGCAGCTCGTGAGGTGTTAATCAAAAAACGTAAAGACACGAGACTGATAAATATTATCAATTCATTTTATATGCAACGTTATTTCTTATTGTTTAAGAAAATAATCATACCGTTAATGACATGTGATGTTACAAACTATACCTTCATTAAGACGATATAATGGCACATAACATATGAAATTGCACAAAGACAAACATTATTTGATAGTTAATCATGATGATTATATTTCTATATGGCTTTGTGGATGTCATGACAGTTAATAACTTCCTGACCATCTTTCTCATCTACATTCCTTTTTCAGAAACACCAAGTAAGAAAGATGAAGGCCCGGAAATAAACTGTGACATAGGGTATCATACATATACATGTACGCGTATGACAGATGTTTTCTGTCGCTGACATCTGTTTAAACGTGTGCGTCAAAACGTATCCAACGTATTGATATTCTGACCAATGTATTTCAGTCCAAGTGTCAATGCACGTTTAAATAATACGTCGAAGCAAGACAAATGAGAAAGATTTATTTCTTCACGGTTGTTCATAGAAAGAGATCATTAAAAATTAGTTGTCATTAAAGCCAAACATGAGAACACCAACCCCCACCACCAAGACATACACACATACACGTGCGCGCAAACACTCACACATGTATCACTAAAATGATGTATAAATGAATTAATGAATATGTACAGTTAAAAAGGGAAAAGAAATGGCAGTTTCACGACTCCTTATACAAAACAAGAAAGGCCTAAATACGACGACACCTTGACAAAATAGGAAGGTGACTGAAATTAGCTATACACTATGCAGATGTCATTCTCTATGTTGATATACACTCTAATACATGTGCGTGTATATGCGTTACTGAGCAGGTATAGTGCATGTTCTGACAGTATAAACGTTTCTAAACTTTTCTACATAATCATTCTCTGTCGATTACACGTGCACATTGGTGAAACATGGTGAGTAATAGCACTGACAACACAACATAATAAGCAAATTCTCATTTTCTTTAAGCCCATTTTTCAATTTGCTTTTTTATGCCCAATGGATAATCGCGTAGTTATTCTCTAACGTTGACGTTATATACCATATATCGCATTTTCCCACAGTGCAGTTTTGTGATCTGATGATAAACTATTCGTTTATAAATAAGTTCCAAATGAAAACAAAACTGGAAGAAAATTATGGCGTATAAACTAGTGTAGACAGACAAAGCCATTCATCTCAACTGTCATATGGCCTGGTCCTTACGTACGTTGAAAACATAACATTTTGTCGTCACTCTCCCATCCTGCTGCACATCCTCCAGGACACGTTCCGTTTGTCTTGTCACAGCTGACACCCTCTAGGCAGTTTCCACACTCCGACACACAGTTGCTACCGTGGTAGCCATTTGGACACGCTGCAAATGTAATGAGGCAGTAAACATTCAAAGCGTATTTCTGTAGCATATTTATTGAAACGCTACAAAAATGTAAAATGTTCTGGTGGCCTTTGGTGGTACTCCAAGGGCAGCTCACAAGAGTTACTTCCCTTGGTGTTTACAGTCTAAAATCAATCTCAGCGCTTGACAGCTTCATTAATCTCTCGTAAAAGAGAGCTCCGCTGTGAAGAGTTCATTTGCTCCCGAGAGTGACTACACTGTTTGAGAGAATTCGAGCAGGTTATCTGAACCTGCTATATAAGAGCAATACGAGGGCGACATCAGGATTCCGACTCAACTTGTAGACATGTGGTGTCATTTATCCACCCTGCTGCACATCCTGTAGGACAGTTTCCGTTTGTCTTGTCACACCTGTCATCATCTGGACAGTTTCCACACTGTGATGAGCAGTTTCTATCATGGAAACCACTTGGACATGCGGCACAAACGAAGTAATTAAACTTAAACCCAGTCTGGAGTTGACCACATGGCTTCAAATACTCCGCAAACACACATACTAGTACATAAAACCGCCACCCCACTCCAAACACATTCGCTTTGACATGATTCCGACTCACCATTTAGACATGTGGCGTCACTCTGCCATCCTGCTGCACAACCTGTTGGGCAGGTTCCCTTTGTTTTGTCACAGATGTCACCATCGAGGCAGTTACCACACTGGGATTCACAGTTGCTACCATAGGAACCATCTGGACATGCTGCAAAACAAATACATATATTAGTAAATACCTATATAAGAACTATCCAGAACTGGCGAATTTAAATGCTGCAGACACAAAAATACGTGTGTGTGTGAGTGTGTAAGTTACGCCCTCTCAGCCTGGAGTGACAACAGGATATAAAATACTTCACAAGAACATAATCATGACTAAATATATACGAACATTCGTTCGACATCATAATTCCGATTCACCTTGAAGACATGTGGTGTCATTCTTCCATCCTGCTGCACATCCTCTAGGACAGGTGCCCGTGGTCCTGTTACAGACGTCACCGTCGATGCAGATTCCACACTGCGATGAGCAGTTGCTACCATAGGAACCATCTGGACATGCTGCATAAACAAATACATAAGTTGGTGAATAGTGGTGTCAGATATCTAGCACTGTCTAATGTACATGCTGCAATTATCAAACCATTTAATATCCTCTAGCAGCCTGGAGTGACAACGGGATATAAAATACTTCACAAGAACATAATCATGAATAAATATATACGCACATTCGTTCGACATCATAATTCCGATTCACCTTGTTGACATGTGGTGTCATTCATCCACCCTGCTGCACATCCTCCAGGGCAGATTCCGTTTGTCTTGTCACAGATGTCATCATCTAGGCAGTTTCCACACTGTGATGGGCAGTTGCTACCATAGGAACCATCTGGACAGGCTGCAAATACGTAACGTATTGAGCACATGGCGTAATCGTATTTTACAAGGTTATCTTTCACCTAAAAATCATACAGACCCACCTTGTAGACATGTGCCGTTCATCCATCCTGCTGCGCATCCTCTAGGACAGGTTCCAGTGGTCCTATTACAGACGTCACCATCGAGGCAGTTCCCACACTGTGATAAGCAGTTGATACCATAGGTGCCATTTGGACATGCTGCATAAACAAATACATAAATTTGTAAATAGTGGTGTCGTCGATCTGCCATCCTGCTGCGTATTCTGTATGCCCTATATTCTGTTTGCCTTCTTACAGCTGATGCCGTTTACGCAAAATCCAAACTGCAAGGTATAATTGCTGCGGTAGGAATAGTTTGAACATGTTGCAAACACGATGCCATTTAACTTACATCCTGTCAATCTGGAGTGACAACGCGATGTGAAATACTTCACAAGAACACATGCATAAACAGATATCAACATTCATTCGACATCATGATTCCGACTCACCTTGTAGACATGTGTAGTCATTCATCCATCCTGCTGCGCATCCTCTAGGACAGGTGCCCGTGGTCCTGTTACAGACGTCTTCATCTAGACAGTTTCCACACTGTGATGAACAGGTGATACCATAGGTGCCATTTGGACATGCTGCACAAACAAATACATAAATTGGTAAATAGCTATGTCAGATATCTAGCACTGTCTAATTTACAGCCTGCAATTACCTAAACATATAACTTTAACCATGCAAACTGTATGTATGTACGTGTGTGTGTCTGAACGTGTCGTCGATCAGCCGTCCTGCTGCATATCCTCTATGCCCTATTCTGTTTGCCTTCTTACAACTGATGCCGTTCAGGCAAAATCCAAACTGAGAGGCAAAATGGATACGGTATTGATTGACAACACGATATGAAACACTTCACAAGAACACATTCATAAACAGATATCAACATTCATTCGACATCATAATTCCGACTCACCTTGTAGACATGTGGTGTCATTTATCCACCCTGCTGCACATCCTCTAGGACACGCTCCGTTTGTCTTGTCACAGATGTCATCATCTAGACAGTTTCCACACTGTGATGGGCAGTTGCTACCATAGGAACCATCTGCACAGGCTGCAAACACATACGCATAATGAACACATGGCGTAATCGTTATTGACAAGGTTATCTTTTACTTAAAAACTCAAACAGACCCACCTTGTAGACAAGTGCCGTTCATCCATCCTGCTGCGCATCCTCTAGGACAGGTTCCCGTGGTCACATTACAGACATCACCATCGAGGCAGTTTCCACACTCTGATGAGCAGTTGATACCATAGGTGCCATTTGGACATGCTGCAAAAACAAATACATAAATTTGTAAATAGCCATGGCAGATATCCGAACTGGTTAATTTATATGCGGCAATCAGAAAAAAAGATTTAACTTTAACCATGAAATTCAAGTTCTTCGCGAAACAATCCACAGTACTGTTTAAAATTCACGAGGACAGATTCGATTGTTTGATACATTTACAGTTGTACATGTATATTGCAATTGCGACATTCGTGTTGGCTTTATTTGGTAGATTAAGTATACTTCCTCACAAAAATCATGTTTAGTTTCTCTTGTCGCATTCAGATTTCCTCATCTGTTTCGCAAAAGATTTCTCATTTAGTTAATTTTTATATTCCGCAGCGCAACAGCCTTACACAAAATGCCTGTGCTCTCAAGATAAATCGTGTAAATGAAAGTACATGTAATAATGTTTGGTCCCTAGTAATGTGGCCAATATTGACAAGAGGTGAGATGAAATGGGGTGCAATGCTGCTTATGAGATTATTATTATTTTGGCCTTCCATGGACTGTGTAATATAGCGTTTTTTCCGTGATGGTTTTTTCTCCCAACTGAGCTAACACAATACCTGTAATGCCGGCGGCCACTGGCGTCAGTGTTAGGTTAATTGGCACCTCTCCCACATTAAGGAAGTCTCAAGTGAATGTAGATTCGCCTGAGAACCATTAGCGTTTGGCTATAATAGCGTATATGAAATAGTTGCTTCCAGTTTTTGAATTTTATCATGAATTTTCAACTATATATTCCCAATTCCGCATTTACAGTTTGAGACACTGAATTCTGTAGGCTTAATACATGGGTCAAATTTGGAATATGTAAATATCTTTTTTTAAAGTTACGGGTTTTGCGTTTACTTTGTATAATTGCTACATAAGCCATAATTCAATTAGAAATTTGAACATTGTGTCTAATGCTCTTAAACTGGTCCGGATTCTTGGGGGTTTGGTTAGATACACAGGCAAGATAGGCAGTCTTATCTATTTGTTTATCACACACTATAATGTCACCCTCAAAATTATATGTATTCTTAGTCTATATGAACTTAACACCTTCTGTGGCGACTTCCTTGAAGAATCGTGTTGGAAGTAATTCTGGATATTCGTTTAATCAGAATGATGCAGCTTCAATCTCAAAAGCATGCGGAATATAAGACTATAGTCTTGTGATATCAAAGTAACAAGTTTGATTTGGTCTTGAATTTGTTGAGGTAAATAGTTTAGAAAATCCATCGTATATCCAGTATAACTGAACATTTGTTATAAAATTATTTACATATCTAGCTGGAATATTGCTGAATGCGTCGTTAAACAACAAACAAATATTCCCTGTAACACATGTAACACAACTTACTTGCTGATGTGCATCAAATAATCTGTGGACTTGTGGAATGCAAATGTTATTTAGTAATGCTGCTATTGTTGGAACATGCCCAATTGCATGAAACTATTATATTAATTGAAGTTACCGTCACTATTTAATTGTGTATTGTATCATTATGGCCCTGAGACACATTCAGTCTGCCCATGAAGTCCATTCACTGATATGACATACTGAAACAAAAATGGAACATGTGGACCTGGCATATTAAGCGACAGGTTTACATATACCTTAAGTTTCATAACATACCTGTTTGGCAGTCGGTACCATTATATCCTGGGAAACATCCACTAGAACAGTGACCAGTGATCTTGTCACATATATCAGTACTGTTAAGGCATCGGCACTGTTTATCACAATCTTCAGAAAACCATCCATCACTGCAAACTGAACATCATTAAACAAAAGCCTTTATTTGAATTATTCATCTGTTGAAGAAAAGCTGTGAACTTTGAAAATGTGTGCAAAACTTTCAACATTATTTGGGGATGTTTCTGTCATTTATGGAAATCGATTCTTCTGGTCAAATTCTAAATATCAGAACCAAGGTATCTCATAACGTACCAAATATCTGCACTTCACACAAAGTCAGGAATTTCCTGGGACCAGGTACCCGTATAGTGACGTTGGTTCCTGTCAGTGGCTGACGGCAGGAGACGTTAGCTATAGGAGGAGGGTGTTCAGTTGATGACCAGTTGTAGCACATCTGGCTGCCCACAAGTATCTCCATGCCGTTACTTCTGGTTTGAACTGTACAGAATGAGGGAAAAATACAACTCCGAGACTTGCCATTATCAAACATAATTCTTCAAACCTTTTTAGCCTGTAAAGTACAGCTGACCAGTTTCAGTGGCAGAAAGAATATTGCTGTCATGTGACATCATGGTAACCGATGACGTTCCAATACTCTGTAAAGTATTGTAATGCAATTGTATTGCAGCTATATCTCCTGGGAGATATCGTTTGAGCTGTATCCTAGTGATTGAACTGTATCCTTGGAGATATCACGTGGTCTCAGACAAGTGATATCTCTTGTGGGAGCCAGTTTTGGATGATGAATGTTATTTGATTACAATTAGTAATTGATCATAGTGTCATCTTCGCAATTACAACGGTTCTACTACTGTGTGAACGTTCACTGATGATGTAAACATCTTTTCAGTTAATTCATGAACAAATGTTGCTTTTGTCACAAACATTTCAGATGTTTCATAAAATCAAATGTTAATATGTTCACTGTAATGAATATGAGAAAAGGCTGAAAAGCAACAGGTTTAACCTATTTGGTCCAGATTGTTGCAAATGACACTATATATTTTGACATAAACATATAATAATAAATACCCGATATTTAAGACAACACCGGGTAATTATCTAGACTTGATAGTTTATGAAAGTGATTTAGAATATTTAAGCGTAGAATCTTTAAGAAGCTTTAGATCCTGGGCATGTTGTATGTTATATTTTAAAAGAAGAGCGAATATTTCGAAAGAATCAGATAATACTAAAACTACTTTAGCATTATGGACGGTCGGGGTTGGGATTAATTATGAAATATCATACAAAATGAATACCCATTATTTGCTATGTCAAAGTAGGACGTTAAAATCTATTTCATAGTCATGCTGGTGCTGGAGACACGATACGTTGTAACATACAGATGAATACACGACACCATATAAAATATTTAGTTCACATTTGTATGTAGCCTTAATTCTTCATGTTTCATATCCAGTTTTAAGTGTTTCATATGACCTCTATAATACTCACACATATATCATTTGCTATGTTTTTTGTGACTTTTTGTGAAGTTTTTGATACACAGGGAATATCACAGAGATACCTAAAGCTGAAATAGCTTTGATCAGTCAAAAGCAGACCGTGAGGTGTCTGTGATATGTTTACAACTGCATCCACCTAATTACCCCAAAATAACACGGTGTTATGTTTTCAATGTATACAAATACGATTCCAGAGAAATGTCCCGCCAGTATGTACACATGGGCCCTTATAAAAGGTCGAGTTAATAAGCATAGAGAGTATTTCACCACTGGACCATTCGTGTCTCACGGCCTTAGATTACCAATCATGTCAATACAAGTACTGTTAGCAGGAAGAAGTTATGTATATACATAAGCTTCTAACTATTTTAGCAATTGAGCACGGGTGGCCTAGTCGTCTAAGGCGCCGCGATTCGCTGTGCAGAGTTGCGTCCCTTGGACACGCCAGAAACCTATGATTGTGGGTTCGAATTCCGGTTCGCCCCGATTATGTTTCTAGGTTTGTCAGCACCATATCCGTGCTCGTGGGTTTCACCGAAGTGGTGAACGTCTGAGACCTGCATCACTTTTGGCTTTCCTCCCACATTAGGCTGACGCGCCGCGATATAACTGAAATACTGTTAAAAGCGGCGTTATATACCCTGACAGCTTCTGGGGGCAGAGGACGCTAGGTTTTTCGAGTTGTGAGCTTCGATCTAACGGCGAGATATATAAAGGTAAAAGCTCGACCATGGGTGTACCGTTTTCCTCGAATAAAGTATCAAGGTTAAATAATTGCATTTTATAATGTTCAACTTCATTTCTAAACCATGCCTGAAAAAAACAAAAACAAAGGGTTGTGCATTCAGAAATAGCAATTTGAGTACTAGTATTATGTTTAGAAATTGAAAACACAAAGTTCATGACTAAAGCCGAATAATATGACTCCATTTTGATGGCTTGCATAATGTATCATCCAAAGAAATTCGATTTTGTCAGTATCCTGGCTGGACATGGTCATGAGGACAAGCTAGTGAAAGTGATGGACGCCGAGCAGCTGATTAGATATCACGAAGCGAGGACAAAGGGTCGTTTTTGTGGCTCTTTTAGAGGGCTTGCTGATGTGGACGTCTGAAATTATTTGTAAAGATTTAGGTATAGCTTAAAGCACGAGGACTTTAACTAAGCATGTCAACGATTAGACACCATGGTCCGAGTGATCTAAACCACGTCCAACATTCATAGCACCTAAAATTCTTTTTTAAAAACTCTATGCTCAACTGTGAGATCACCGTGCGAGTCCCCCCTGCTTGAACCACGTGTAAAATGTTCCCCGAAACTTTCACACGCGCACCCCGCACTAATTGCATGTCACGGGACAAGTATACCATTCATCTTGAACCAACTTGAGAACATTATCAATCACCTTAACATTACTTGCCCATGTTGATTGGCCTATTATGAGCAAACATAATCCTGATCAAGATAATAGTTATTTATTTTCTATCTGTTCGTTTTGATGAACGAAAAGCTACAAAAATCACAAGTACGTACAAATATTACAATGCATAGAGTAACATACTGTATAAAAACTGCATAAAACACACATATTTCGCAGTTCATAAACGCATAAAAGTCCCGATGTAAGTAAATATTGAGTTGTTCATGCGATTTCTCGCATGTCGCCGTGGCTGAAGACAACAGGCGTGAGCCTTCGGTACGGACTTCGCCGGTTCGAATACCGCTGGCGGCACACGTTTTAAAGAAACAGTTCTATCATCAAGGTAAATGAGGGGGAAAGAATGAAGTTCCGTCATTGCCAAATGGTGTTTAACTAACATTTCAGTTGGTAAGAGCACGGACAAAGGAGCAATGGTTTAAATGTGTTTAAAGTTGGTTTTGTGTCATTAGCTGGATGCCTGTTTATGACCATTTAGCAGGGATTTCACACATTGATACGGATCAATTACTGGCTATTCTGTGACGAGGTTCTCTGGTCCGATGCAAAATAAATGACACTGAAAAGATTATTCTACCATGAATTTGAAAATTACTCGATTCTGATTTATCAATGATAGGTATCAAATCACAATAACCATTGTTGATTTAAAACGCCAACTTGACGGCCGCATCACCGCGGAAGCTAATATTGATAGACAAGTATTATCCACCTTTTCAGTCATTGTCGGTAGGCATTTTAAAATATAGTATGCTTTACAAAGCAGCGGTTATCACACTATTCAAATTGTGTTTGACAATACAATTTGGACAGTAGAAAACACTGTGGAAATCGACTAAGAAAGTCTATTAAACGTTTTAGGGACCACGGAGTGCCTGTCTGTAGCCGACTGTGACGTCATAATTACTGCGTCACAATGAGCGGTCTGGCGTTATAATAGTGACTTGGGATGCAGAACTAAACCTTGCGAGCCTTGCTTATTGTTATTTACGTTAGCTTACTAAGTTGCTGTGCTACACACTTACAATGATAGTGTTATTAGCCAATGATTACATAATTTGTGAGCATATCCAGCATGTAGCGGGTGGAAAGAAGATTGCAGAATAGTCTAGATATGACTTTTCGAGTGAAATTACTTTACTCTTCATTTCACTTCTCAAGACTGTCTACGGCTACCTTGGATACAGCCCTTTCAGGACAGGATTCCAGCCAACTGGTGAGTCATTCATTTTCACATTAAAGTGTACAATAGATTATTGTTGTAAACCTATTCATTAGTTATAGTAACTGTCTGTATTATAAGATTGATTGACTTTGCATTTGCTTACTATTCTAAGTTTGAATACAAATTAAACATATGATCAGAAATATTTTTAATTTCAATTTTTATTGAGATTTCTTACAAAAAGTTACTTTATTGTATGTGTCATTGGGTGATAAGAATATATCACTCCTGTTACGTTATCGATTTGATTGTAACTACTTCTGAAACATCTCCCATTACATTTTGCTCGTCGCAACAAGTTTTATATGCTAACATTAAGTTTTTGTTCACTGATATCTTGTTCAATCAATTGCAATTTGTGTTGGCCTCGGACTCTCTCATACATGTTTAGGCGGTCAGTGACAGGGGGACAATTATCATTCCTTCAAAGTTCCAGTAACTTTTATGATGAAAACACATTCTCAATTCAACAACCTAGATCCCTTTTTAAAGTGTTGGATATTCTCATCCTTACATCTTCATATGTGGATGTACTCACGGTCGTCACGTAGATAGAGTCTGATGTGTTGTATCTTTTCTGGACGTGATGTGTTCAGGTTCACAGTCCAGGTGGGCTCTGTCTGATTGCCTGTATGGGCACATGTTAGTGGCGAGCTCCTGGCATCTGTGGTGGCTCTACCATCTACAGCAAGTCGTGCTCCGTAGTTATTTGTTCCAGCCACTAATGTAGTACTCTGGCTGCATGATCTTCTTAAAGCAATATTTTCTAAAATTATAAACAAATAATCAGTATCATAATGATCGGTGATTTGAATTCGTGATATTACATCTACCCATCGATCTCATACTCACGTTTCTGACAGGACGAACCGAACCATCCTCCTTGACATCTGTCTGGACTGCCGACCTGGCTACAGGGAGTGGAGGGGAACACGGCACAGGCGCTTGCAGTGTTACAGTGACATTCATCATCTGTTTGAAAAAAAGTACATTCGCTTGACTGACAGTAATTACTTACATTGATATGGCTTGAAGATAGCTTGCTGTCTATGAATAAAATCAACAAATACATTCTGTGAATAACGTCCTTACCAGTGAGGGTCACAGTGACACAAACCAGCAGCAGTCCCACACAGAACCAACCCATGGGGGATATCTAAATGAAAAGACAAAGGATAGGAAACTTTAACAATTCTCATCACATACATAGCGAATATATTACCAGAGTGTCTTAACATGTACATAAGGACGCGTCGATTAAAAAAACAGAATTGAGGATCTTCGAATTTTAATTTTATCTCGGCGAGTGATGATCCATGGTTTTATCAAAAGATATGAGGGCTAAAATATTTGCATTGTGCAAAATCATTTTAAACCATTTGATATATGACAATGTACGTAATACGAAAAGGGTTTACCGGGTACTTTCCGCTATTTTTGTAAGTTCTGTGGCGAGCTCCTTCCTTGGCAACGGCTCCTGAGTTGTTAATCCATCAACGTATAACCAGTATAGCCGTCTCGCGAAATTAACAGGGGGTTTGGGAGGCTTTCCGCTCTACACAAATCCTTGCAAATATATATTGTCAATGTAAGAGAATAACCAGTCAAAAAGATTTCGTAAATAAATGTCATTTTCATTTGTCAAAGTTAATGAAAAATACTCGTGTAGAGCCGATGCATGTAGCTGAGGAGGTTGGCGCACGCCATGATGGGACCTCTATTTTCGAGTAATCTTTCGATGTTGACGTCTGATTTTCGAAGTTGATGAATTTTATATTCAATATCCCTGTTAATCATATTGTACTATCAAAAAACATATAATCAAATTGGGAATATATGTGTAATATGATTTGAAATGATTACATACATTGTATGGGTTAATGCATATTGTAAGCAGGTGAAGGAATTGAATGTGCAATTTCAAAATATTCCTTAAAGACTTACTTAACATATCTTTTACTGTATAACAACCTGTACATATAGTATACGTACTCACCTCCGAAATCAATCAGTGCATGTGTTGGCGAACAGGTGAAGCAGCTCGGGTGAGTACTACAAAGAGTGTATGCTTATATGATGATAAACATACATTTACCTAGATAATCAGCACACTGTGTTTCAGTCATAAATGACCAGACAGCGTATGTATTAAGGATCACGTTTTCAAAGGTAGTATGCGATAAGGCAGTCAGTGACATGGATGTGATGTGAGTTTTACAGTAGTCGGTACATGTATGACGAATCATGTTTCATATATCATCTAACTAAGCTGCTACTCACTGGTTAAGATGACAGACAGTGTCGCAATGGGTAAACTACACGTTTATCTGCTCTGTACAAATAGAAAAACAATATATCCTAATCTATGGATGCATAATTACACTGTACCTAGGACAAATGATGTATAATGTAACAAATGTGCAATTTCTTCGTAGGTCTTTTTATATGTAGTAAGTCGACTATGGTAAGATGTAACCCTATGATAACACAGACGTCAACACATGATATTTTACTTGTAGATAGTGCATGCACTTGGATTAGGACGTGTGCAATAAGGATTAATCCCCTATGCCATGACCCCATGTACTTCCTCATAGGTATGGTACCCACACCTGTGAGATATGCCATACGGCAGTGAGTGCTTCCTTTATACACGGTGTTTGAACTACGGGTTCGGATCAAAATGCGAGCAGGTGAGTGTGTAAGGTTTAATGCCGCGTGTAGTAATGTTCCAGCAATATCACAGGGATGTATGACAGACATAAACTTTAGACATTGTATCCACGTGGTAATCGAACCCGGGTCTTCGGTCACTGGGCTACCCGAGCACCCGCATCGAAGTGAGAAGCAAGGATAAAGTTACTGTAGAAGTTATACTGACATTATTATGGCTTCAGTAATGCGACCCCCAGAAACGAAGCACGTGTAACCTAGCACAGGTAGTGCAGGACACCTTGGACATTGTGAGAAACATAACGTTGTATTGCAGAGAGATTGTAGGGATATCCACCTTGGCGAGAGCTGTCAGTGACAATAACGTCTCACGGGCTATTTTTACGATAGTATCCTTCTGATCATGAGATGTTACTAAAGTTTTCCAATGTACGTATGGTCATATTCTGAGGCTTGCGGTGACAAGTGATTCACAAAATTTCCAATACACTGACCGCGAAGCAGACCCCGAATTATCGCCGTGGGAGCCCAGACATTACACGTTCAGACACCTCTGTCACTACTGATATTTGTTTGTTTGTTTGTTGTTTAACGCCAAACTCAGCGATATTCCAGCTATATGACGGCGGTCTGTAAATAATCGAGTCTGGACCAGACAATCCCGTGATTGACATCACGAGCATCGATCCACGCAACTGAGATCGATGACATGCATCAACCAATTCAGCGAGCCTGACCACCCGACCCCGTTAGTCGCCTCTTACAAGCACAGCTGTCTTTTACGGCAAGCATGGGTTGCTGAAGACCTATTCTACCCTGGATATTCACGGGTTACTGATATTTAAGTCAGCTGATGTTCAGTAAGATGTGGTGTCATGTAAGCACAGCAGGGCTTAACAACAAAAGTTTTGATCAGGACCGTAGAAATCGTGACCGTAGATCGTGACAAATAATGCCAGCTTACAATTATGTATCAGTAAGAACCGTTTTGAACCATACTCAAGTATATCGCGTCATGGCTAACAGAGTTTACATATTTTTTGCATTGATAGATATGGACAATGATCGTTATATTATTATATATACGTAAACAGTCAACTGCAAGGAGTTTTCATCACATACTAATAAACAAAATTATCCTTGTGCTATAACAATGATACCACTGTATATGTCTGTTCCAATTTCATATATGTTCATAACCATTGTTGAGCAAATCTTTTATGTAGCCGTCTGTCAAGTTGTGGAGGACTTTTAAGAACGTGTCTGTACAGGGTAACTGAGGGTTAGGTGGACTACCTCGACTATCTTGTTGCATGTTTGTTGACTGTCTTGGGGAGGATCAATTCTTCGCACTCAGGTACTGCTAACTGACGGCGGGTGGGACTGCGGTTGGATTGCATTCATTGAAATCGCCTCGCAAAGGGACGGATGTTTGGTCAGCCGTGTAACTTATTTGGTCGCTTCTGCTCTTTTCATTGCTCGGTATTTTTTCTAAGGAATTCTAGAAATACATTGATGTCGCGTTTTCGAAATGTTACAATGTCGCGTTTTGGTAAAATGTGCAACTTTTCTATTGGTTTGGTAAGGTAAGTACGTTCTAATCTTCCATACTTGTCACTGCATCCTTGTCCTGTACCAGATGCTCAGAGCCAATCTGTATCCCTCCCCATGTTAATTGAAGAAGTTATGAATACAACTATATTATTGCTGCTTATTTGTGTGAATATGAATCAAAGGAAAAACGCTCCGGACCAAATTTTCACTCCATATTACCTTGAGGAGAACGAATATTCTCTACACCAAATCCGTTGATTATATGTGTCATTATATTTTCCGGAACAAAGCTTTTCCCTAAATATTAGCTCTTGCTGTGGCGACGACTGGTACGGCTGTATCATCGCAAACCATATTAACAATGATATTAAGCATTTCCTTGACCCCACTTTGTCAGCGTGAAAAGTATGTATTTCTATTGAAGTTGATAATCACCTTTCCTTGAATAGTAGTGTCAATGGCCGATATGAAGGCACTGTTAAAGCACTGTGTAATTATCCTGACTGTGTATACATGCATGTGTCCTCACCAGGAGAACGCATTGCATTTTACTGGAATTTCTAAACGACGTGGCCATTCAAACATAACTTTTACTTCTGTGCCCATCAATCTATAGTCTATAGATGTGTTTCTTAAGTGTTGTATCTCAAACTGTTCTGTAAGACGACAAGTCTAAAGGAATTATGTTTCTGGCCCCAGATAACAGCTTCTTTCCAATGATTCATGATTCCTTTAGCTTTTCAAACAGGCATGAACAGTATTTTGAAACCTTAATTCATTTTTTGTTGTAAACAGGATCATATAAATTCACTCGTCAAACCGACCCGGGGATACAGAAATTCGTCGTGTCACTGTAGCACAAATTGTATTTCGTTCAGAGAGATTACAATGATCGTACGATCGTATTTCAAAAGCTAGTAAAGTGCATGTCAAGAAGAGGTACACACTTACATTCAGTCTTCCTATAAGTAGAGATTCAAACTGTATTTTCAAGTCAGATAGTTCAGGAAGGTGTACAATGCAAAGAGTGCTCATGTTTGCAGAACAAAATCCCTGTTTACGTTTCTGTGGAGACATTTGAACTAGGTGCGGTCGAATTGAAATGTGATCGTGTAGTGTTTACAATAGCTGTCCTTGAAGTTAGGATATGATTAAATACTTTCAGGAAAGCAGAGTTAACAATAATGTGTGCTCTCCATCTAAGTATATAGAAATTCATACTCATATATACACACGGGATTACTCACATATAATCACCTTTCCTTGAATAGTAGTGTCAATGGCCGATATGAAGGCACTGTTAAAGCACTGTGTAATTATCCTGACTGTGTATACATGCATGTGTCCTCACCAGGAGAACGCATTGCATTTTACTGGAATTTCTAAACGACATGACCATTCAAACATAACTTTTACTTGTGTGCCCATCAGTCTATAGCCTATATGTCCTTAAAGTTATAATATGATTAAATACTTTTAGGAAAGTACAGTTAACAATGAGGTGTGTTCTACATCTAGGTTAATATATATTTTTCACTCATATATACACACAGGTTTACAACAATATGTACAGAACTCAGTAAGTACTCACCTCTCACGCCAACACCTCACAATTGTGTAATCCAACGTCTGTACAGTAGCACACGAGTTGGCTACCAGGAAGTAAACTGAGAGAGACATATAAGGGTCACATGATCGAGTCATCGTATGTCACATACCTGCATGATCATGATCTGTTCAAACATTATTTGCTTTTAGGTCAATTGTAAAAAATATTTTCTCAGATCTACTGAGTAGAGCTGTTATAGGGTATTGATGCAAAGCAATCTACATAAAGAAGTACGGGTCTTTTTGTTTAAGACTTTGCTACTTGTACCTGTACTAATTTCTAAAATTCACTGCTGGATTCACGGTATTTGACGTTAACAGGGGATACAGAAAGACAAATGTAAATTAAAAACATCGGCCCACTTGCGCAACTATGCATGGTATACATTTGGATGTATGTGTGTGCGACTTAAAGCCCCACTCTGACTATAAGGTGGCGGTGTCTCAGTTTCGAACAGTGACTGACAATGTAAACACAACCGAGTGTCGGGAGAAGGGTTTTGAAAACCGTACGCAAACAAGATCACCATTGACCGTCAAACTTCGTGTCAACTTGCATAACAAACAATGGATACCACAAATGGCTCCATATCTAGATATAAGTCAATAAATTTTTATGTAGTTTTATCATAAAAAATCGAATCGATCGTGTTTGGTGTCTGCATCAATCACGGTGGGTGGAGCTTATTTACGGTTGCGCTATAAATAGCAAAGCACATGGTCAAGTGTACATGTGACACATTCAATGCATTTGTGCTCAAAGTGTATTGTGTTGTATATTTTCACGGCGGTACAGGAGCAGAACATCGGTTTTGGTTAATGTAACAGTAACCATACATAAATACGAATCTGACGACACGTTTCTTTCAGTTCAGTCCGAACATTACAGGTATTTGTTTAGTTGTGGTCATTTGCATTCAACAGTTTCATCTAAAGGCCTACCACACAATACTCAGATTATATTTATAAAACTTATATTATTACACAGATTTTGAAACTAGTGTTTAGGAAGGGGTCTAATTTTAAGCACTAGAAGTTGCGCCAATATTTTTCAACTTCACTACAACGTGTATCAACATAACAATGAACATAAGCAACTGATAAATACTTAACGAAATATACTAGATTTTTTTACCTTTATCTAGAAAATATTGTACTTACGATCAACGAAAACTCTAATACAATATTCCAAGACAACTTTAATTATGGATTTCCTTTTCTGTGACAGAATTTTCACACAGAAAACTGAGTCTGATCATTAGATCAACACTTGTCCCACGTATTTTTTTTTCATCTGCTGCTACGTTTAATATCCGTTTCTTCAAGTCCAAGTATCTACGATCTTTCCAAACACTTCGTCTATTTAGCTCAGTCCAGAAATATTGGTAGCGCTGTTTTCCAATCGACGAATTTCTGCGACATGGTGGACGCACCATTCCCTAATTGCGATTGCCTGTGCTGTGTCACGCCTTGTTGACAAAAGTAGTGTGAACATACATGTACACATGTACGCTTGTTGATTCGAGTTGGGGGTCGGAATTATGTAATCTTGAATGTATATATTTGGAACTTTCTCCACGATAAAGTCACCAAGGTCATAATCGAAATGACCAAAGCCTCTCTGGTCACCGCGAACAACTCTCCGTCAAAACTAAGCGTCACATGAAAATGTTCTGTTGCTCATATTGAAGGCAAGCGAACTTGCAATGTTCTTGACAGTTGTATACACGGATGCGTTCACGGGGCGTGGTTGCTAGGTTTTTTAAATATAAGTATTAATGAAAACACATCTTTTCTAAAATTGCAAATTAATTTATTAATTTTTGCCAAGGTCGTAACCTTGATCACACGGGTGGGTATTTCGACGGAATCTTGTGATGACGACGTGAATGAGGCTGTGTGTATTACATTGTTGAAATCAACTGACCAGGAAGATTGTCGAGGCATTGACATTATGACAGATGCTCGTCATGGATTGAGAAAAAATGCATCTGAGAGACACATTGTTGCTTTGAGCTTCGAGACCAAACATGTGTTCACGCCGAAGTAGTTTACAAGAGAGGATGATCTGTGTATTCAGCGACCTGAATAATCTTGATGAAAATATTTTTGAAATCCATATTCACACACATGACCATGGAAATAAATGTGAACTAATGTTTATCTAAACAACGTTTCGAAGTATGTGAGACTGTCCGTGTGTTATCTCCATTCCGACGTGAAATGATATAAAGTTGTCGTGTCTCATTTCTTTCCTGCCGCTGGGGAAAATGTGCACGGATGTAATAAAAGAAATACTAATAGATCTACCATTGCACAGTCATAAAAAACAAAGTCAACTTTATCTTTCTTCAGTTGTTTATTCAAAGCAAAGCGACTCGATCTACGTCATAACTTATTTCATAGACTAGATTCTAGTGCCAAGTGTTCAAACTTTTTTTAAATGTCATGAAATATCTAACACAATAATTAAAAGACATTTTGTAAAAAATAATATATTTTAATTCGTCCGCCCGCTCTCTAGTTAGTGGAGGTTTGAGGGGAAAAACACATACAAAACATATGGATGGCCTTATGCAAATGACACTTGGCATGCCAATCAACAGGGAATCTGGGTCACCGGGACCCGCAAAGTTTCACGGATCGAATGACTTCGACATGTGAGGAGCTAATTTCGGACAAGTGTGACTTTGCCAAAACACATTGCTGCTGGGGAATGAAAACATGTGACGGAAACGAGAGAAAACTACTTTCATCACTTAAAAATATTTTTGACCATTACCAGTTTGTTTGCTATTTGTTATGTATTTGCAAAAAGTGCTTATCATGCAGGAACATGAGCTTCATGGGCATAACTATTAGTATACTAAACCTGTTAAATATCTGCTTGAAGTGGTTCACGACGTAGGATGCGACTGATCGTGCTTTGAGACTATTACACATGTTTAATAAAAATGTATTTCCGTCTCACGTACAGTAAACATGATTGAAAATTAGCGCTGGCTACAGAGAGTAGTTGGGTGCAGTCACTGCTAACACAAAATACGCATATTTGATGTGAAAAGATGCCCATGACATGTACATGTAACCCGGAAGAAAGTGTAGAGGCACACGACCCATGCTATCAAAAATAGGATAATGTGATACCTTCATCCTTGTCAACATTACGCCGGTGTCAACATGAAGCCACATCCTCATTTGTACACTGATATCATATTACTTGGGTTCTTCTCGTTTGAGATCGCTCGAAGCAGAGTTAGTGCGCAATAATTTCAGTTGAACATGTCAGTCATAATAATGATCTCATGTCGGTGTTGCGTCATGAAATAAACAAAATAACTTGAAAATATCGACGCGTCGGTATTGACATCTAGATAATGAACACAGTCAGGTTACAGAGACCTCACGACTGTATAAATATAAGCTTTTTTATGTATGGTCTGCATTGTTCGTACTTCACGTTGTCAGGTTTCAGAGGCCTGAATGTAAACGGGCGAGCAGACCGAGAGATACTGACTGGTTGTAATATGATAGTTGGTAACGAAGGGTCAGTAGATTATTTTATCAAATTACTAGTATGAAACTGATAATTACGAAGATGCTAGATACAACCTAAGATATTTCATATTTATTCAAACTTCTGGGCCTGCATATTTATAACACCTATATAGTTCGATTATAAAATAAAGTACACACTGCTCATTCTTCGTGCATGTGGATATTCGTACATGTGTGCTATATGTGGATGGTGAATTGTAGTCAAGATGCAATTGATACGCATGTGATGTGAATAATAGAACTTTGTTTAACCGCGCGATGCCAGTATTATATTCAACTGCGTGTCCGCCTATATATCTTGAAATGACAGGATGTATTAGATAACAAACTATATGTCAAGTTCTTTATTCTTTCAATGCAACAATGACTTGTAACTTTATCAAGTACGAAATGAACATCTCGGCAATGCATCGTTAATAATTACATGTACACGCCGATTAAAACATACAGTAACTTGTACAATAAATGATATACGAATGTAGCTTCTGTTGTTGTTGTTGTAGCTTCGAAAGGTAACGTCTACTCTCCTGTGCCAGGGTTTCCAAGGATATGAGCAATTTTTAATCCGGATCATAAATAATTCAGTTCCGATTGTACCGGAGCAATGTTTTTTAAAAGTTGACATGGCTTTAGTTTATCTTTGAAAGTTTATTATTGCATTTCGATATAACCCCTGGGTTCCGCGCATATTGTACACATTTGTGAGCAATAAATGGACCATTGTGAATGAATGAAATTTTATTGACCAGGGGTTTACTTTTCGAACTGTAATACTTGATATGTCATTATCAATTTAACATAACGATCCACGGTTCCTCGCAAACATATCAGCTTTGTAGTATGGATAACTCAAAACATTTCGATGATTCATAATTTTGATTAATCGACGTTTAAATGTAATAAAAGTTGGTTATATGCCAGTAATTAAGAAGTACTGAAGCCTAAGCATGATTATGATAAAGCCTTTCAAAGTTAAAAAACACCCATCATTCAAAAACTATCCGTGTTTATGTACAATACAGTGTAATTCTCTTTCTGTGTCACATATTGGTGTAGACGTTGGCAGAACGATTGTACTCCTTCACCACATCATAACACAGCTGGAACTGGTCCTGCAAATAACATACAGTTAGTTATGAACATTTAACGTCATCAGTAATACTGAATGCACATATTATTGTCATAGTACCATAGACTAAACATTATACCCACAGAGTGATTGTTATATTACGTGGAACAACCGATTATAAGGAATATAGATCTCGCCATGCAAAACTTCCTGTTAAAACAATGTCGAATAGTTTCTTTTCCATGTTTAAAGTATGCTCCAAGGCTAAAAGTCGATAATTTGCAAATAATAACTTTGCAAATTGTTTAATCTCTCAAGAAAATACATGTAACATTTTAAATTTTGATTGTGTCAGCACATATTGATTGCTATCACTAGTTCACAATGTCAACGACTTCATATGTAACCGTGTACTGTCATTTAACTATCAATTGGATCAGTTATTGTACTCACGAAGGACTGTACAAACTGAGGTCTGATACGCTGCAGTTCCCTGATGGTGAGGAAGATATCCACGTCTCTGTCCAGCATCAGTCTGCTGATGATATTCAGGACACTGCAGAACACGCCGCTCACTCCGGCACCGTCACTGGTTCATAGAAACCATCACGTCATGCAAGGTACATAGAACGGTAAATATAATGTCTGTGGAAGCAACATCTTCTTTTGATATTATCCACACACGTTTCAATATGTATATATCTTTTTTAACCAATATCAATCATAAACCAACTATTTGTATATTTATAATTGTCCAAATGATAAGCACGTGTTTAATACCTCATTATTTACCTGATATCGTGCTACATGCAATGAATGTCTCTTATTTTACATCATTCCCGTAATTCATAATTATGTATATTATTGTAAGGTGGGGGAAGAAGAAGGTAAATGCATACTGGCAGTGGATAAGAACTGTGTGGTCAGCAGAGCTGATGATTCTGTCCACCACGTTGATCAGTTCCAGAAGTGAGGCACTGTTGGACATCATGTCCTGTGACCGCAGACTGAACAATGTCACTGACTGCTCGCTGTCCTGAACAGTATTGAAACATTTACCTTCTTCATGAACTGCAGATCTCCAAAAATAAAAATTGATATATGTTTGAACAATATGACTTATCACATTTCCAAAACCAGAGTATCCAGTTGTCTTTATACTAGTCATGCTTTCCCATTTTATCATACGATGGGGGGTTGGTATGTTCCAAGCCTCACACAGAATGACTTGACATAAATACATGTAAATTATTTTTAACATTATCCCTTTCCACATCGATACACTTTTGCTAACAATGTTGGTCCTTCTCTGTTCTAAATGTTCTCAACAGCTACCATGATGTCATCGTTGAGGCGAAATGGGTTCCGCCTTAAGCTTTTGAATCTGACGAGCTGAGATATAATGATTATACTTTCTCATGAGAAATGCCTACTGAACGAGCAATATGACGCGCATTCATTCACTGCTTGCTTGCTTGCTTGAAATAACATAACGACAGAACCAACCTTCTTGTCATATGCAAGCATTAATTTTCTCTCGTTGTAGAATGCCTCGTCATTGTTTGAGTTGGTTGCCCCTTGTATCACATTGAATGGTCCATTCTTTAACACTTTGTTCTTTTTAGGGTACATTGCATCTGTATCCTGGATAAAAAGTGAGTGTTACTAATTACATTCAAGTAAGCATAATTCAAAATGATGGCAGCCTTTGTACCAAGCTGTACAAGAGAGATGATTGCGATTTTCCATACGTGGATGTGTCCTTCATGTTGAGCAAAATACCATGATATCCAGTTTGTGGTGTCTGCATTTCTCAATTGTCAGATACTTTAGAGCATAGATTTCGTTTTTTAATTTCATGGAAAGACACATTTTGCTTACTACTAAGCATTTCAATCAAGGTTTCACCGTCAATGGCTAGGGTAAGTCCTTACAGACATGTTTTGGCAGACATTCAAAGGAATTTACTGAATATGACATGTAGCTTGTCAACCATATATGGAGTTTTCACCACGTCCTTACTTAATGGCGCTAACTATGTTTAATGATCATTGTGTGAGTGGCGGATGTTACATGTAGACCAGGAAAATCAAATCATGCTCTGTGTCGTCACTGATATATACATCACCATTCATATACCTTTCATCACTATTTTGCCTCTCACCTATGAGATCTCTTTCAGCAGATATATAAAGTATATTCCACTAATCCATTAAGTATAATCCATTAAACATGCTTTCGGACAATGAAAGGTATTATTTCTTACAATCTTTGAAGTGAGTGTGTTTTTTAGACAACATAAAAATACTCAAATGTAGAAACGACAACATTTATCACAATAGTATTACCTTGGAGTCGTCCAAACAGACAATGGTGAAGCAGTCATGGTCGTACACCAGTCTCCAGAAGTCCACCACAGTGTCTGGCAGGGGGGTCTGTGTGACGATCAGGCTTGATGGCCGAAGTATAGACTAGAGTAAATACAGTGAGTGAGTGAGTTGGTATGATATTAGGCCACTTTTAGCAATATTCCAGCAATATCACGACAGGATACACCAGTAATGGACTTCACACATGTGGGGAATCGAACCACGATCTTCGGCGTGACGAGTGAAGGCTTTAACCAGTAGGCTAACAGTATATGCACAATACATGACAGTATTACTGGGGTATCAATGGTGAGTGGGCATGTGGTTGACTTAAATAAATGACTGTATGTATAAGGAATAGGTGGGTGGACGCACGATTATAAAGATTATATGGTTTATGGACACAAGGTGGACAAAAGTATATAAGGAATACACGAAGTCATTATTACTATGATATCAACTATATACACCAAGACTTACTATTATCCAATAAATGCAAATTGTGATGACACCGTCATGTTTATGTTATTTGGATGTTCAAGTATTGTTTTATTACACTTAACGGTTCAATGTGATATCTGAAAATATCAGGTAAACTAATACACATTAGCCCAAACAGTATATAGTACTATACGATTGCAGTTACATGTTGCTTAACATAACAAACAACAATGGAGAGCGTGCTTACAGGCAAAACCACAGCATTGATGTAGTCATTCCGACTCTGAACGGGAGTACACAGGTGGGGTCGTGATTGGTTTCCTGTGACAAGACATCAAGCTTAAGAATTGGATGGTGATCAAGCTAATTGTCTGAAGTACAGTGTATTTCCAATTTACAGGAACATGTATCTCTTACAATGGACACAGTTACCAGTACTATGTTGTTATTGTTATAATATACACAAGGTACATGCAGCGAAACAAAAGGAATTACCTTAAGGCCAAAATCATTTTTATCAATATGAACTGATTAAATGACAATTGGGTCAATTTGGATGAGATTGTAATGTTGATGATCTTTTTATCGTGGGTATGTGGTAGGACGTGGTACGTACCAGGGAGGATATCACGGCTCCTGTTTTTGGCCAGGTTCCCTGGAAGCAAGGCATGTGAAGTTGTCTCTGCTGTCAGGTCAGATGTCTGTACTTGAAGTAGCTGAAGAAAAAGGCATTGCATGTGGTCCTTATTAAGATGTTTATCACACAGTGTGTGTTATACGTATGCTCTACACCAATTAATTAAACAAGCTTCAAGAATGATCATTTCAATGGAAACATCGGTCTTAAAGGGTTCGGCAGCTACATAAAAATGGGCTTACTTTAAATTGATTTTTCAGTATGCCCTCTTGCTGTGTTGTAAACGTCTTGTCAAAACCAAACGTTTTGTCAAACTCAGACGAAGTGTAGTGTGTTCCTCGACTATTGAGAGCCTCCAGGACCACATCATGCACGAACTCGTACTGGTTCTGAATAGAACATGTGTATTATTACAACATGAATAAAATATTGTGCTGATTTAAGAGCCAAATTATGCTGTTATTTTGTCAGTGTTAAAGAAGTCCTATTTTAAGAGAAATACACTAACCAAAATGAACTTTTATTGAGGAACGCGCCTTCTGATGGTTCATTTTATGGCTGCATATCAACTCTGTAGATTACGTACCAACTAATAATCTAAAACAATATAAAAGGAAAACATTGACTGACATTATATTTCTTGCACACGGGCATACAAATTAAGAGCATTTGTGAAATGGTTGCCCTTAAACACCAGAATCCGCTACGTATAAATATCATGTGTAAGAGCCATTCAAGTCAGTGTCCATTCCGCTCAATTGAAAGCTACGAAGGTGTTCATATACTGGTTACATGAAATATTGCAACCAGGTAAGTAAGTGATATAGATGAGATACAGTCGACTCTCACAACCACGAGTATCATCTTATCCTGTTTGACACATATCCGACATTTCCTAATGAATTATCTTCATTGTAAGTAAAAGGAAAACTTTGATATGTTGTATGAACACGTCTATTTTGCGTCTGCGACCGACAAGCACAGAGAGTAGCCCACTGATCTGTGATCGAGCGAAAAAACTGTTGCATTTATGTGTTGATTCTAAGCGTGTTCGACATGGCTATAAACGTCTGTATTAGATCTCCGGCATCCGCTATGTACGCCGTTCTACGAATCTAGTGCAGCCAAATGTATCTCTTTACTGGTCTGTGTATCCTTATATTGCCCACCGCTTTCTGCACCATGTTCATCCTGTTCTGTCTCATCTTGCATACACACATGTACACGTTGACTCTTTTATCACTCTCAGCTTCATCAATCAGGTAGTCCAGGGCAATGAACGCTCCCGTCCGTCCTACTCCAGCGCTGCACAAAACAACACCATTCACTGAATTTGATTTTTATAAATAATTATTCAATTAAGCAAGCAATCTCTAAGACAACCGTGGTCTCATTTATCCCATTGTCTTTACTGACTTGTCTTGTACATATACATGTATATGGTCTTCTCTCCAATTATCTCCAATGTTCTACAACAGGGTTGTTGCTTACACCGAGGAGTACAACTACCCAATAGTCGCCAGTAATGTACACTTATTACCACGATTTCTGTGTCCAACTTCAGGGAATAGTGGCATAGAACAGTTTGAAAACATACATTCTTCCACCGCGCCTCTTGTGTCCACAATTAATTTACCTGCACTACCTATATTGGTCTATGATCCTATCATTCACTTGCATTGTACCATATACATCGTGAACGTCGACATGACCCCTGTCCACCCCATTACCAAAAATGAATCACCATAAGAGCCCCATCTTCTTATTACATGTAGATTAAGACAGTGGACATCAATGGAACCCATGGGCACTCAAGAGCTAACAGTGGTCATTGATGAGTACTATGACCTGATACCCTCACGGGATCTATCTAGATATATATTACCTGCAGTGCACCACCATGGGACCCCTGTCCATGTCCCCCTGTTTGACCAGTCTCCAGAAGTTGACGAGGGCAGGGGCAGAGGGAACACCGTGGTCAGGCCAAGACGTGAAGTGGTAGTGCGTCACAGTTCTCTCAACACCCTGTAATTTTTTATTGGCACTATTGGTTACAAGTAAGCCAACAAAACCAAAAAGAGGATGCCGTTGTTTGCGGTTAAGTATTTGTATGTAGCAATTTTGCCAGGTGAGCCCCGGAAATCAGTTTGTGTATCTTCAGGCTCTGTGTACCATGGGCATTTAAAGTCAATGTTAATGTACACGACACCCTTTACAGAAATTACAGAAAATGCCTTGTTCTAGATCTGTATGATGTAAATTGTATCTAGTTGTACATCCTTGTAGCGTACATGGACATTTATGAAAACGTCATTAACCAATAAAATTCAAGTATTTTATATGGAAGGTAAGATAAGCAATTATGCATACTTACGAATTTTTGAAGCAGGAAAGTGTAGATCCTGTAGTCAGCCCTCACAGTCACATTCTTATTAAACACCTTAACGTGTCCGTACTTTTTTGCCTTATTCCCATCAGGCCAATATTGTTCACACTTCGTCTAGAAAATAAATTATTAGAACGAACTCTCATATTGCAGCCCATATTCAAATCAAACATTTTTAGAAAAAAACGTTTCCTTAAATATTATGGCACTGGTGTTATTTTCAAATAGCTAACAGACTTTGATGCACATCCTACCTTGTTCATCTCCATCAGCCTGGTCAGCATGACTATCTGTGTTACGTCCTCCTGCCACACCATCCGCCAGAAGTCAGTGATTGTCACCGGTTTGGGTCCTATGTGCAAAGCAGTATGTATTACAAACTAAAACATAGCATGATGTGTGATCATCGTCGTACATTAATCAATCGAATTTTGTAATTTCCAGTTCACAATACGTTTAATGAATATATGATGATATATATACAAGTAAACTAACTGTGCGTACCTTGTGTAGCTATGTATTTTGGAGTATCATCGTGTCCCTGTGGAAAGATATACGGTTAAAAGCCGTCAATAACTGCCGGTAAGTGGAACATTCAATGCCGTACAATTTTACACGCATTAAAAACAATTGAAATACGTCCATTTTAACACTCCTCCATGCACAGGATTATCTGGAAATACATCAAACCGATATTTGATATTTCAAATATTGGTCATGAATTCAATCATTATGCTGACATTTATATAGAAATAGTGGAGTAATCTCACCATGATATAATTGGCATTAATGTAATCATCTCCATCCGCCAACACAACTCTCGAATCATCATCTGAATAAAAACCTAATGTGAGCCTGATGGATATTTAAAGTTAAACCATTGAAACGATAATTGTCCCAAATGAAGTTGCCTCTGTCAGTATGGCAATTAATAATTAGCTACATGTATGAGAATATGTTCACGGTCTTGTTTTAATATCCACATGTAACGATAGCAGGTTTTATTCTTAACACATCTGGGGACGGTCGGGTAGCCTAGTAGTTAAAGCGTTCGCTGCTCGTCACGCCGATGACCCGGGTTCGATTCCCGACATGGGTACAATGTGTGAATCCCATTTCTGCTGTCCCCCGCCTTGAGATTGCTGGACTATTGCTAAAAGCGGCGTAAAACTATACTCACTCACTTAACATATCTGAAACGTTGTGCCAAAAAGGCGAATATTGATGTAAGCAGCTTTGAAACGCTTACGTTGCCATTATATTTCACAATCCTCAAATCTCGAATCTACGTTAAACCGTCCTGGAGTTGACTGCATCACCGCTAACATATTTATTAGTGAGCCTTCCCGTCTTAGAACTTACTGATTAGCACCAAATTGAACTCCCGAAATAACAGAAATAATTTCGCAAATGTCCCTTGAACACCCGACGTGTAACGTCTGAAGAAGTTTATTCAAATTTTATCACAATGACAAAGCAAGTATTAGTTCATGTAATGTATCCCCTCAAAGCTTTGCAATGGTCTATATACTTACAAGCATATAGTGCAAGAAAGCGGTTCTTCGTCTTGTTCTCTGCTTTCTTACCAGCCTCATGTGGATGTCTTGCTCCATACGGGATGGTCTGCGACACAGAATTACACGTATTATGTGTATAGGAACATGCAAACTTGTTACCAGTTGACAACTCAGTAATATTCAAGCTAACAGCTAATTAACCTTGTGTGTTAGATTGATGACCTCGGTTCATAAGCTGAATGAAAAAAAAGGTTATTGAGATACAGTCATCTTATCGTAAGTGAGTAAGTATGATTTTACTCCACTGTCAGCAATACTCCACATCAGTATCACGACTCGTGACACCGGAAATAGACTCCAGACAATGGTCTCATGAGGGGAAAGGAACCCGGGCTTCTGGCATGATGTGCGAATGCTGGAATCCCCATGCTACCCAACGCCTTTTACTCCCAATACCTTGTATTGTTACTGTATCTCCATGTTGCACCTAGAACTGCAACCTTTAAGTTAGTTGTTTACTGGTACAGCGCCTAATCTAAGATAGCTTGGCACGATTGCCAGCACAAATCATTTTACCTGATATTAGATTTCTCATAATATTTAACTCCAGGGTCCATTATTGTTACACCAAAACAAACTGCATAATGAATTAAATGGAACTGTGTTAATGATAAGCGTAGAACACGGTTGTTAAGAAATGAACACAAACTGGCTTGCAACTGTTTGCAAACCCTGACACTTGAAATCAGTTAATAAGCGAAATGTTTAACAACTTTTGTATTATTTTTAACGACGTTTCAGGGATACTTATTGCACCTTTAATATCCCTTATATATTAACTCATACCATGACAAAATACCATTCCGGAAATGTCGCCACAAATAACACAGAAGTCAAGCATGTTGCAAATGTAGATGCATCTAAAATAGTGTGAAAAAAGAAACCTGAAATTCAGTTTTGAAAGAGGCCTTTTTCTTCTTCTCATTGACAGACTGCTGGAGCTTATCCAGCGCCATGTGAGGTTGTATCCAGTTGTAGTAGGCAGAGGAAGCTTCGTTGCCGACATCAACTTCAGTCTCAACAGAAAACATAGCATCTTCATCTTCATCTTCATCTTCATCTATAGCTGGAGGTGGCCTTGGTTTGGATTTACTCCCAGATGGTTCGTCTAAATGATAATAAAGGTAATGAAGCGAACAGAATATATAATGTTTGTGTATCGTATTAATTCAGGTCTTTTACTCCAATATTCGTCTCAAGAACCCTACACGAGGTGACTTTCAGATTATATATAATTTCAAATCAACCAAAAAGGCTTAAATGTCCTAAATACAAATGAGCAAAGCATTTCCAGCATTATATCCGATTTTCGTATCTCGAAAATGAAGAGCTTCCCCCTTAAGGACAATAGTTATGGCCGCCATATCGTGATAGATACATGACAATGTTGTTTCTGTGCACAGGAAAACACAATCCCGTTTGTATTTTTCAGGGACCATGTGCATTATTTTGGTTTTCTTTTGTTCATGCTGAAATTTCAGGAACAGAGGCGGTATGAAATTTACCAACCAAAACCTGTCACTGACAACAGATGGTGTTGACAAGATTAAGAATGGAGAGAGTTCGTATTATTATAGAAAGCTGACATTCGGTTGTCTCAAAAACCCGTGCATCCTAAAGCATTGTTTGGTCACCATAGCTATCTCAAGGTTCACTGATCATGACGTCCTGCGAGGGGCATGTCAGACGGCGAGGGGTATGGTTTCAGTTTAAAAGATCTAGTTTCATGAAATTGCAACCAGCACACCGAGGTTGACTTTGTTTGAATAACAACACATTCTAGATAGTAATTGAAGAATGCGTGAAACGTGATACTTTAGAAGTTAAATGTACCATTACTAGCAGCCACAGGAAATGTACTCAGGGAAGACTGCAATCTCGAGTCATCCTTTTTCCTCTTTTTCCTTTATTAAAACAAGATATGACAATTGCATCATCATTACGGTATAATGTGTGCATCTCTTTCTTATAGGATATCGAAAATCAAACTTGTTCCACAAAAGATTAGAAATATATTAGCAAAGAAAACACGTTTGATTACTTGATAAAAAAAGGTATAGTAACAAATTTAACAAGCATGAAATACTCACATCCCCCGCGAATATGACATGTCGGGTGTGTGCAATGCATTAGCTCCTGTGAACTTTGTTCACTGGGCCTTTTTGTAAAGAAATATAGTACGTTTTTCAAGATCTCTCCTGGAAACGAGGACTACCTCCATTTTCAGTCTAAATCAAAGTCGATGCTTTGGAAACTCGAAAAATAACTTTTAAAAGAAATTCAAAACTATCAAAAGGCACCAGTTCACCACTAGACCTATCAATGTGCAAGATATGGTGAAGAAAAATGGTACGGTTTTCAAGATCTGCTCCGGAAACGAGGACTACCGCCATTTTCAGTCTAAATCAAAGTCGTTGCCATGGAAACGCAAAAAATAACTTTTTTAAAAATCCCAAACTATCAAAAGGCACCAGTTCACCACTAGATCTATCTATGTGCCAAGTATGGTGAAGAAATATGGTACGGTTTTCAAGATCTGCTCCGGAAATGAGGACTACCGCCATTTTTAGTCTAAATCAAAGTCGTTGCCATGGAAACTCAAAAAATAATTTTTAAAAGAAATTCAAAACTATCAAAAGGCACCAGTTCACCACTAGACCTATCAATGTGCAAGATATGGTGAAGACATTATGTACGGTTTTCAAGATCTGCTCCGGAAACGAGGACTACCGCCATTTTTAGTCTAAATCAAAGTCGTTGCCATGGAAACTCAAAAAATAACTTTTTTTTAAATCCCAAACTATCAAAAGGCACCAGTTCACCACTAGATCTATCTATGTGCCAAGTTTGGTGAAGAAATATGGTACGGTTTTCAAGATCTGCTCCGGAAACGAAATGTGACGGGCGGACGGACGAACGGAAGGACGGACGGACGGCACCCATTCCTATATCCCCCTTCCACTTCGTGGCGGGGGATAATAACCGTAAAATGTATAAAGTGAGATTAGCAGTTACCTTTTCTTACAAATGACAATAGCCACAACAACAATGATGATCAAAACAGCTGCAACCGTCCCGCCCACTACACCCGCAATGAAACTGTCTTCTGTCAAAAACAATGGGTAAACATTGACATTAACAAACATGGTGCACGCATTGTGCATGTTTTGCAAAGTTTATTTTTTATATAAACTGACGTCCAAAAGAAACTTTACCAGAGTTTGAAATCACTCTTGCTCAAAAACAACAAAACATACATGCATTAAGGTAAAGTGTATTGAGAAGATCAGTATATCAACATAATCAACACTGAAAATGACAATCATACCGCGACCGAGAATGACGCCAGAGCGCCCCAAAGTTGGGTGTGGTACAAAACTCGAGCTTTCAGAATCATGGACAATAGGCAGAGGACATAAACAATCGCTCACGTTCAATAACAAGTCATTAGTAGCGTGTGTGACCACCAAATGCCTCAATACACGCAAAAACTCTTCGACGCACAGAAAAAGTCAGTCGTCTGATGCGGTCACGTGGGATTTGACGCCATTCTTCTTGGAGGGCCAAGATCAGTTCTTGCCGGTTGGCTGGAGAGTGTGGTCGTTGTCGAACACGACGATCCATCAAGTCCCAGAGGTGTTCTATGGGGGACATGTCTGGTGAGCGTGCAGGCCACGGCAGGTCGTTGACGTTGTTGGCTGCGAGGAAGTTAATAACAATTCTGGCTGTATAGGCTCTAGCGTTGTCATGCTGATAAAGGACACCATGTAACGCTGAGCTGTCAAGTTTCCGTCAACGATGACCAGCGGTGTCCTCTCCTGCCCACAGATCCCTCCCCACACCATGACACTCCCTCCACCATATGGTACGACCTCCTGCACGCAACACGCCGCCGTTCGTTCACCCCTTCGGCGGAAAAAACGTTGTCTTCCATCAGCCCTAAACATACAGAATCGACTTTCGTCAGTGAAGACAACCCTCTGCCAGTAACGGCCCATCTCAATCGCAGACGACGATGTTGCGCTGTCAATAGCTGTCCTCTGTATGGTCTAAAAGCCCTGATTCCATGAGCCCTGAGTCTCCTGGCCACTGTCTGTCGACTAACCCCGTGACCTAAGGCATTTGTCAAGCGATTTCGGAGGTGCAAGGTACGCAAGTACCTGTCATCATGGGGCGTGGTCACCCTGGGTCTGCCTGTTCTTGGCCTGTCAGCCGTCCGCTCTGTCTGTCTGTAACGTTGCATCAAGTTGGTAACGGCAACACGGGAGCAACCGAAGGTTCGTGCAATATGGGCGTGGGTGGCTCCCATCTGTACCATACCCAAGGCTCGTTCACGTTGTTCGACTGTGAGTCGTGGCATTTCTTTTTTGTGTTTTTTTTATCACTGTGGATGTCTGACTTGCCGTAACAATCGTTTTATACCCTTACCCGCACGTGCATTTGCAGTTGTCCGTGGTGCACGTGTTTTCCACTTTTTCGCGTGTTATCTCGCAAACATGTAACAGACGACTAACATTTTCTGCATACACTATTGTTGTATTTAGGTTATGCGTTTTAGATAGACTTCATCGAAAAAAAATGTATACTTTGTCTGAAATTGATATTTTCAGTTGGTAAAGTTTCTTTTGGACGTCAGTTTATTATAGTTATATATATAACTCGAGATCTATTTTCAATTAAAATTAAAATAAAAACCACACATGTAAACATCAGAAAAGAACTTGTTTCTGTTATTTCAATATCTTAGTACATATATTTGAATTGATCAAAATGACTAAATTAGAAATAGATAACAAATTAAAGTTTATAAATGGATATCCTCACACATATGTACCATAAAGAACTTGATTTCAATTCCTGAACTTAAATCCCACAATATATTAGTGTGACCTACATGAACCTGAATCTAGTCGATCATGGTGAAAATACATACGACTAGGCGAACAGAACTGATTATGTTTCTTGGTTTGTCAGCACGATACCGTGCTCAGGGGTTTCATCAAAAGTAAACGTCTTAAACAATAATCACTTTAGGCTTTTCTCCCAAACTGACACACTATAGTAAATGAATGAAATAATGCTCAAATCCGCGTTAACCAAACTCAGTCACTATTCCTATACTTTAGTATTTATGGATCAACATTTGATAATATTTAATATACATGTACAATAAAATGCAGAAAGAGTAACGTCCGACAATCTACCCATACAAACAGATTTGAATTATTTTGTGTCTTAGATTAGTCGTGCTCCTTTATGTAAACATTTGCAGCTTCTGAATCAATTAAATTGTAGTCATAGCATGAATACGATATGAACCGAAAAACATTCCAACGCTTACTACACGTGTTTCCCATCCAGAATGTTGCACAGCCTCTGGGACATGTCCCTGTTTTCTTGTCGCACAAATCACCGTCTAGGCATGATCCACAATGCGATTCACAGTTGCCACCAAAGGTACCGTTGACACATGCTTTGTAGAAAACAAAAAACAGAATTTAGTTGTGTGACCAAATAAATCGATCATCAAGCAAATGATAAGTTTATTTGTGTGCACAACCGTTTACACAACACACATGCATCTATAAGTCCTACTACATAAATGTAGGAATACTACATATATTCTAAAAAACAGAAAATACCATAAGAAACATATCGAATTGGCGTCTATTATCACTGAACTGTTCTTGTCATGAATTGTTTGACAAGCATTTCTTAGAAGTCTTTTTTTAAGTAATTTGCGACGTTTCGGTATAAGGATCTAAAGCGAAACGTCGCAAATTACAGTAAAATATAAAAGCTGGTAGGGAAGAGAATATATGGATGTCAACTTCTTTATTATGAGGAACACAACGTTTCGGAGTATATGCTCACTCCTTCATCAGGTGAAGTTGACATCCATATATTTTCTTCCTTATATGAATCACTTCTAAATGTCTTTCAAAAACCTGATAAAAGCTGTTATCCATAAATTGTGTCTACTTTGTTCTTTTCGTGTTTCCCTTTTTTTCTTTCCCTCGATAGGCAGATACTTTTATTGCTTTTATTGACTCAGTAACATCTGTAAACAAATTTCTTATAAGTATATAATTATATAATATACTCTATGTAAGCGAGTGGGTAGCACATTGGACGTGTCACAGTGTTAGGAACCGGCCATTTCATATTCTTGGCCCCCGAAACTCCTCATAATAGTGTCGAACTTCACCGTTCACCCAGTTTGGCCCTTTTAAACATAACACTCCAATGGATTCATACAATGTGAAATTAATTGTCAATAGTTGCTGCTGGGTGCTGAGGAAGACGTGTGTATATTAGTCGTATACATTGGTCGTGTTACAATTCTTCAGAGCGGCCATTTCCCCTATTCTGAAACATACACGTACAGCCAGGACAGATTAAGGAGAGACTTGTGAGATCTTGCCATACACAAGGTTGAATATAGATATATTTTCTTTCAAGTAAATAGAAGTCATAATTCTAAAGAATCCTACTGAGACTCGCTCTATTGTTTTCGTAATTCATTATTTTTCATAAATGGACAGTTTGCTTGCCAGCTATTTATGCCTACATTATCTTGATCCCACTTTTCAATTAATCTACACTTAGAGTAAACGGATCTATCTCTTCTATTTTGACAATAAAGTGAGTGATTTCAAAGTTTGCGTCTCCGGAAAGGATCAATCCCGCATTGTTTATTGTAGATGTAATTGTCAACCATGACAACTGCGACACGTGACAGAACAGTGTGAAATTGATAATGAAATATTTTAAAACATATGTATTATCTTTAAAAGCTTAGGAAATATTATATTTCGATAACCCTTTGCTGAGAAAACTAAGAAATAAATTATATATAATCTGATCGGTATTATATAGCGATCGATCACACGAACCTGTTACGTATCTTGTTCAATGCATTGTAAATATCAACCAGTCACGGAGTTTGATGCAACTGTAGAGAATACGTTCCACATGCACCACGTAAAGACAAGTGGTTTATTTGTATGTGGTTTATGTTTAAGTTGCTGTCAAAGTCTAATAGTTTGAGAAAGAAGGGATGTGCTTTACGTTAGAGAACATCTTCGTAACTGTCGACACGTGAGTATGAATCACCTCGCCCATGCGGAGCTCGGCGTATGATATTCACGAGCCGACAGCTACTCGTTTGTTCTCCCTGACACACTTTTATCACAGCATGTAAAATAGTTGAAGAGATTCATACAACATTTATGTTTTGTTAAATTTGAGAAAAGGTTAAAAACGTGTTTTTTTTCAGAAAACATGCAGGCCTGCTTTTTGTTAGGTCCGAGTTTATCCGAAGGTATTATGCAGACATTATTATTTTCTTCAGATGGCATGCGGGAATAAGCCGTGAAACATTCAATTCATACTTTTTAACAAAACGGTGCTTTAACCATGATATAGAGATTAAAATAGCAAGAGGAAGTTTTGGTTAACACGACGAACAATGAATAAAACTTTCAGTTGTTAAATATGTATCACAGAAGACACGACATCCTGCGACTGTAAGGTTTGTCAGAAGGAAATCTGTTGATGGAAACCTTCAGTTATCTGGATCGTATTTGACCTTAAATTATCTTAATATTCAGAGAGGAGACGGAATTCATATGTGGTTCGTAAATTTGATCAGAATGTTATCCATGAAAAAGGCGACCCTCAAGAAAAAATAGCAAGAGGAAGTTTTGGTTAACACGACGAACAATGAATAAAACTTTCAGTTGTTAAATATGTATCACAGAAGACACGACATCCTGCGACTGTAAGGTTTGTCAGAAGGAAATCTGTTGATGGAAACCTTCAGTTATCTGGATCGTATTTGACCTTAAATTATCTTAATATTCAGAGAGGAGACGGAATTCATATGTGGTTCGTAAATTTGATCAGAATGTTATCCATGAAAAAGGCGACCCTCAAGAAAAAATAACTTACAATATCTTACGTTAAACTTGTTAAACCTCATAAATCTAAAAATAAATTAAGGTTGCAGTTTCCGTCTGGTCCTATCGGGTACCAATTCATGAGGGTTTGCTGTTTTAACGGAATTATTGTTGAGCAATCACAAACAAATAACGCAATTTTTATCTGGACGCTTATTATTGATCGTCTTCATGATCTTGGAATATACGTACATGCATATAAAAACAAAGTGAAGGGGGTTTTTAACTAGTGTCCATTCACGACCAAAATGATGTAATACATGTAGGTTACACAAATAAAATTAAATATGTGTATGAAACAACATAGATATATAATGTGGATATATAGATCATAGGATGCCGTGGTAAAATGTTTACCTGTATGCACTTTCATCAATAACAGCAGTTCAATGTCTCAGATTGTACTAATCCAAAGGAGCGTACATATAGCAAGTGTTGGACAATGACTATGAGCGCGTAGACGTAGTCTTCCATGACTGGCGTTGACGTTTCAAATGCCAAAGCATTATGCTGTAGCGAGTAGCCTGATGTCCTCAAACACAGCAATGATGTAACATCTTCAATTGGTGTTTTTTTTAGCAAATATTTCAAGTCAAGTTTTACATTTTGCTCAGTCTACTTGACAAAAGAAACGAACACGGTTCCTCGAGAGGTAAGAAAATATAATACCTTGACAAATAGATGGTGATATGGTTGATAACAAACTTATTAACTTGTACATATCCCCACACTCGCAAGCACAATTGAGCGAAACATATGTTTGAATTCTACAACTTGTACTTTGTAGAAACGTGTAGTCATTTGTCTCAACTGAAGTGGCTCGAGGGTGTGTTTTCTCACCTTGCTCACACGTGCCATCACTGACCCACCCTGCTGCACATCCTCCGGGACAGGTTCCGTTTGTCTTGTCACAGCTGACACCGTTTAGGCAGTTTCCACACTGGGAGGCACAGTTGATACCATAGGAGTCATCTTGACATGCTGCACAAACAAACTACATATAACTAATCAGCGTTCGAATGTATTCACTTGGATTGACACTCAGATAAACAGATAACTTTGTTCATATCCTTGAACACCAATGTGCCAACATTTACTGTTTGTTCATTCAAGAGTGGATGCAATTATGAAGGTTCTTGCAAAAAGCTACGTTTTTAAAGATCGCTAACGGGTTTTTTATTTGGTATGAATATACTGTAACCCATTTTGCTTATACCATTATTTGTTCGTAGGGGCGGTCGGGCAGCCTAGTGGTTAAAGCGTTCGCTCGTCACGCCGAAGACCCGGTTCGATTTCCGACATGGGTACAACATGTGAAGCTCATTTCTGGAGTGCCCCGCCGTGATATTGCTGGAATATTGCTTAAAGCGGCGTAAACCCATACTCACTCACTCACTTCTTGTTCGTATAGATCAGGATAAGCTTCATAGTACTGTAGAAATACTGTCACATTTTGTTTTTCTATTTTACAAAATACCAGATTTTATTTTAATACATCAGATTGTAACCTCGCATTAACATAACACACGTCATGTTTATATTGGTATAGAGTTTGGCGTACACAACTGCTTTTATTGCTTTTTATATAAAAAGGAAAACATAACCAAACCTTGCTTATGATTATAATGTGTGAACTCTGCATCAAATATGAGTTTAAATTCCAGCTTTTGGCACCGTCCATTCGTTTGACAATCGGGGGAACATGAACTTACATTTTCTAGCATAGTCATGCAAAACTGGAAACATTCACTTAGTCTAGCACACTGTGTGAAGCTCTTTTGGAAATGTAACTTTAATTTCTTACACTTTTTACACCATACCTGTAAGGCAGTCGGTACCATTATATCCCGGGGAGCATCCACCAGCACAGTGACCAGTGATCTTATCACATATGTCAGTTCTATTTTGACATCGACACTGTTTGTCACACTCTTCTCCAAACCACCCGTTACTGCAAACTGAACATTATATGCCCTTTATCCGTTTGTTCTCCGTACCAAACCCTCGTATTAGGGTCTGTTTTGTTTTGAATGATGTGGATTATGTAAAATAATTATACAAATCGTGTTCTTGATAACGTTCATCAACTTACGATGATTTAAATATATAATTGCTGCTGTTTGTGATGTGAAATCGAGCAAGTATTATATATATATATATGGATCTATATATTGGTCATATTGTATTGTGAAACCGCTTATTCTCTACCAGGTGATAACATTTCCATAACATACCAAATATCTGCACCTCACATAAAGTAAGGAATTTCAGGTCACCAGGTATCCGTATTGTGACGTTAATGCCAACGTCAATTGTCAATGGTTGATGGCAGGTGACGTTAGCTATAGGAGGAGGATGTTCAGTTGATGACCAGTTGTAGCACATCTGGCTGCCCACAAATATCGCCATGCCGTTGCTTCTCTCCTGTACTGTACAGATTAAAGTAAAATGTTATAAAGTTTAATTGTACTAGCAATCCTATTGCAGTGATGATCTTAATAACATACTTGCTCCAAACACACACACACACACACACACACTTTAAGAAGATATTTTATTCATTTCAGTGTGGTCAAGGTTATGCATGCTCGTTTCAGTATTAAATGTATTTGAGTATTAAATGGGTTGTAATAAATATGGTTTTCATATCAGTGATCTCCGTTAACGTTGTTTTACTTAACCATATCACGAGATCAAATGTGAATTTGTTGTCGTTATGTCAGTCATGAATAAACACACGCCCAATGTATGTTACATAATGTAATCAGGGGATGCTTGCGTTTGGGACCCGATTCTGTTACTGAATAATAAGGCTGTCAACCATGCATCAGGATTGCATACGTGGGTGTGTTTACTTGAAACATACACGCGAGACTGATGTAAAAACGACATGTATATTTATCACATGGGTTTTTTATGCAAAAATGAAGAAGTAACATGATAAAATTAACACAGGTACAGTGCTCATGATGAGCAAAACGAGTTTTTTAACTCATAATATTCTATAGCGGTACAAGGTATCAATAATATACTAAATGTGTTGTTACGAGGAATCTGTATTTATTCAAAGTGCATGGTTATTAATGAAATCCACTAATACTCGCACAGTTATCATTGTTCTTCGTTAGCTACGGCATGAGCTAAAATGGATAGATTAGGACAATGACCATGTCTGGGTAACGACACCTATTTCATATTTGTCACTGATTATTTAAACCATAGCATATATAAAGTGTAATGCTAGGAAAAATCTTGCAAAGACACTGATGTGAGTATTAAACGTTCTTGTCGACAGAACTCATGCACTGCGGAGTGGTGATTTGAAATTAGTGAGTTTTGTTTAAACAGCCGGGTGAGGTGAGATGAAATGGGGTTTAACGTCCCGTTCAAGATGGTTGTACTCATTCAGCGACGTGCATGCACGTGTGTGTCTGGCTGCATTTACTGGCCCAGACTAATGCCGATTTCATAGTGCTAGGCCACTGAGATATCATGCCGCAGTTTAACATGAATACCCCAATAAGATCAATACTTGTTTTAGCCCATTAATGACGAACGCCAGGCATTCTGTAAATTTGTTTTAATTATTTCAATATCTTTTAATTTTGGGGGGTAAGACGCGAGAGAAATGCGGAGGGTATTTGAGACAAGTGGAAGAAAATACGTCGTGGGTTCTCAAACAATCAAAGCATTTGCTTGACATTTTGCAATCTCAGAAATGAACCAGGTTCTATTCTGTCAAAACATATGAATTTTCAACTTTGTACACCACTTTCCCAGACGACGAATTTAATTCCTGAATCCATGAGGCATTGTTACTAAATGTGAAGATATAGTTGCATCTCCATCTTTGTCAAAAATGAAAGCAAATGTCATCAGAAGTTTACTGAGAACATGTGAAATGCTGGGATTCCGGATATAACATATATGTGAAAGATGGGTTACGACATTTAAGGCCTCAGTATAGCTTTCAAAACGTTTTATGATACACATGTGGAGGGTATTTCCAAATTTGACGCACCAGTGATGCAACTGCGTATTTTGACTTGTACCATATGTTCCCGTGTCTTCTCAAGTGAACAACTGATCATGATCTGCTTTTGCATGTGAGTGAGTGAGTCAGTTAGGTTTAACGCCGCTTTTAACATTACGCTAGTTCTTTCACGGCGTGCCAGCTTAATGTGGGAGGAAAGCCCGAAGTGATGCAGGTCTCAGACGTTTACCACTTCGGTGAAACCCACGAGCACGGTTACGGTACGGACAAACCAAGAAACATAATCGGGGCGAACCAGGATTCGAACCCACAATCAAGGGACGCAACTCTGCACAGCGAAGCGCGGCGCCTCAGACGTATGCCTGTGTATGGGAGAGCCCGCGAGGAACAAATAAGGTTTCAACGACCCGAATATTATATTATGTGGCGGATTGTTGAGGACAAGTTACGCTCAAATGGGTTACTAATCAGGAGTGATATAGTTTCTTCATCCAGTTATACATACAACATAGTATATCGTCATTAGAAATATCTTCTCTCCTGAACAATGACTTTGAACTTGTTTTTCTGAACCCAAAAGAGAAACAATATGTAAATAAAAACGACAAAGCCCATTTCGTATTCACAAGAAATATCTGAAAAAAGTCGATTGTACGATTCCGACTTTATCATGAACATGTGTTTATGAATCACTGTCAAATGATGAGGATTCAAGGTGTTCGCTTCAAGGTGACCCACCGGTGGCACACGTCATAAACACATGCAAAGGCAAGTCAATTAAAGCAAGCCACCTTAAAACGGGGGAAAATATGGTACAAGTCAAAATAGGGAATTGCAATGGACATCATTTTTGTGACTTATACGTCAAAGTTGGACATGTCCTCTACAGGTTTACCATGCAACTTTCTGAAAGTATTACTGAGGCCTTGAATGTTGCACCCGTGCCCCCTGCTTTTGCATGTATTTGTGGCAGGTCCCACGGTTGGGCAGGATAGGCTCACCTTTTTCTGAAGACCTTGTGTCATCACTATTTGATAGTGTTTCATAAACACATGCTTGTGATAAAGTAGGAATCGTATAATGGACTCTAAAGGTAGTAGATATTTCTTATGATTATGGAAACAGGTATTTTTGTCGCTTTTTTTAAGATTATATAAATATTTGTTTGTCCCTTATGTGTGAAAGCAGTCATTATTTATATAATCTGGAACTAGCCAAAATACTGTTACCTTCGTAAGAGACATTTAATAACAAAAATATAATAACAATATTGTTTGAATATTGTCTTTCATAATTTTTTTTGTTTAACGCCGCACTCAGCAATATTCTAGCTATATGACGGCGGTCTGTAAATAATCAAGTCTGGACTAGACTATCCAGTGATTGACAACATGAGCATCCATCTACGAAATTGTGATACGATGATATGCATCAACCACGTCAGCGAGCCTGGCCACCAGTCCCGTTAGTCGCCTCTTACGTCTTTCGAGTAACATGGTCCACGCTCGAAGCACACTGTCGTGATGATATGTGTATCTACATGTAGATATATAATGTCAAATGCCAGACAATAACCTGTCTCGATTATCCGACGTCAGATATTGTGTTACGTAACAGGTTCCATTTGGGCGTAAAAGGCAAAAATAGCGGTGAAAATTTATATGAGTGGACCACCGAAATCAGAGATGACACCTCATGTTCGTGAAATGGGTAAGCAAGTTCTGCCCCGACGGAAGGACCCGGCACTCACATAATTTGCACCCAAATGTATGACTATGTGTTTGTTGCCTGACACGCACATCAGTACTCCTGCCATGAGGGGGCAGCATGTTAACCAACTGCACAATCAAATGATGAATGAGGAGTCCAGTCACACAAAAGTGCATTCAATATCAGCAAGGGTGATATCTATGTGCATTGAGTTTGTGTCTTCCTCGATTTCCAATCCATGACAGACGTAATTGACAGCATGAACATGGAGAAATGTGTTTTGTTGACCAACTGTGAAGAGATCACCTGTTTAATAACAATACGGCTCTTTGTACAGTGTTTAATAACATCACGAGCGGACGGGACTATCTTGTGCATTAGCTGGTCATTCGAATGGGACGTAGGTAGCACTGTGCAACTCTACTCCTGCTCCTAGACGGAAAATCTAATTTTCACAAAACACCTGAGATGGATAGTCCATGAATATCTTGTTGTTGTCTGGGCATAACTCGCAAACAAGTAGTTTGACATAGAGAGAGTATACTGACCCTCAATTTTACATTGTAGTTGTGCAATCATCGTGGCATTTTTATAGGCTCAGGACATGACTAATAAACAAATCATTATGTTGAACGATCGTCACAACATTCATCGCCGCGTCTACTTACGACCTTGAATCTTGCCAATGAGAGTAGCGACCCTTGGACCAAGTGAACAGCCGTTAGAGATTTCGTCCTCGTGTCAACCGAGGAAATTTCGTGAAACTTTAATTTCGTGTTTCGAAATTGAACAGATGGTGTATCTTAACGGTAAATACAATCAATTTCATGATAGATAAAGAATCTGCTGTTTAGCGTGAAACCACAAAGCCAGTATGGTATCACTCTATGAATCAATCCTCTCGCGGCCTCCCCTCACCTACACTGAACCGAGTTTGAAGGTAGACTTTCCGTTGAATGCCATGGTTGATGTTTGTGTATGTAACGGATGTAAGATGATTATAGAATCGGCATCCTATCGCTTTTTAACAATGTTATAGACATTGTGTGAGTGAAATGCTTAGTCACCCTTTTCGCAAACACCTGGTGTCATGACTGATTTTCAGTAACCCATTCATATATAAGATTCATTACTATAACGATGTCTTATTATCTAACAGGTACTCGTTTCGTAATCCTTTGCATGAACTGCATAAGGCATCATTTTAATATGGAAGTACCTCACATTTGCGTTAAACAACCAACAAACTAACAAACAAGATATATTGACTTTGCAATTGCTACTGATTCTTAGTTTTCATGCATGAGCTAAATTATACTGTCATGTTGACAACCATATATTACAGGGGGCACGGGTGGCCCAGTCGTCTTAGACACCGCAATTCACTGTGCAGGGTCTAGCTATGATTTTTTATTGCGGCTCGAATCCGGATTCGACCCAGTTATGTTTCTATGTTTGTCAGCACCAGATCATGCTCGTGGGTCTAACCAAAGTGGTAAACACCTCAGACCTGTATCACTTCGGGCTTTCTTCACACATTAAGATGACACGCCGTTAAACAACTGTTATTCTGTTAGAAGCGGCGTTAAACCCCAGCTCACTCGTGTTTTAGAGCGTCATACAACTCAGAAGTTGTTCGATCAAGGTTGCAACATTCAAGGCCTCAGTAATACTTTCAGAAAGTTGTAAGGTAAACCTGTGGAGGACATGTTCAACTTTGACGTATAAGTCACAAAAATGATGTCCAATGCAATTCCCTATTTTGACTTGTACCATATTTTCCCCTGTTTTTAGGTGGCTTGCTTTAATTGACTTGCCTTTGCATGTGTTTATGACGTGTGCCACCGGTGGGTCACCTTGAAGCGAACACTTTGAATCCTCATCATTTGAAAGTGATTCATAAACACACGTTCATGATAAAGTCGGAATCGTACAGATATTTCTTGTGAATACGGAATGGGCTTTGTCGTTTTTATTTACATATTGTTTCTCTTTTGGGTTCAGAAAAACAAGTTCAAATTCATTGTTCAGGATAGAAGATATTTCTTATGATGCTATACTATGTTGTATGTATAACTGGATGAAGAAAATATATCACTCCTGATTAGTAACCCATTTGAGTGTAACCTGTCCTCAACAATCCGCCACATAATATAATATTCGGGTTCGTTGAAACCTTATTTGTTGGCCGCGGGGTCCCGCATACACTGGTGTCAATGATTAGGTGAAAATTCTTATTTCCTCAATTTTTCTGTAACATTTATGATAAAAACACATTTTCAATTCAACAAAATCTATCATTTCTTGCAGAGATAGATGTTATCGCCCTTAGTTACTTGTGTGTATGTACTCACGGTCGTCACGTAGATAGAGTCTGATGTGTTGTATCTTTTCTGGACGTGATGTTTTCAGGTTCACAGTCCAGGTGGGCTCTGTCTGATTGCGTGTATGAGCACATGTTAGTTGCGTGCTCTTGGCATTTGTGGTGGCTCTACCATCTACAGCAAGTCCTGCTCCGTAGTTATTTGCATCTGACAATGTACTACTCTGGATGCATGTTCTCCTCAACGCAATATTTTCTGAAAATATAAACACTTAATCAGTATCTGAATGATCGGTGATTTGTATTCGTGATATAACATCTACCCATCAACCTCACACTCACGTTTCTGACAGTACGAACCAAACCATCCTTCCTGGCATCTGTCTGTACTGCCGACCTGGCTACAGGGAGTAGAGGGGAACACGTCACAGGCGTCCGTGGTATTACAGTGACACTCAGCATCTGCTTGAAAATGGTACCTCATATTAATTGATAGTGATCTTTACTTATTCGTACATAAATGTACATTACAGTGAAACATTGATTGGGTTTAAAGATAGCTATCTGTTTGAGAATCAAACTAAGAAATATGACAAATATTAACACTTATTTTACATTCTGAGAATAACATTCCTACCAGTGAGTGTAAAAGTGACACAGACCACAAGCAGTCCCATCCAGACCAAACCCATGTCGGATATCTAAATCGAAAGATAAAGAAACAAGAAACTAACACAGTCTTGATCACATTAATAGCGAATCTTATCAGCGTGCAACTATATCAGCACGCGTCGATAAAGGCATCAGAATTGAGGAACTCTGGACTTTTCTTTTTTTTCTCGACGAATGTTGATATATGTTTTAACTGGAGACACGTAGTTGTAATATTTTTACTATGCAATTTCATTCAAAAGCATTTAATATACTGACATTGTAATGTTCGTTATAAAAAGATGAGTTACATCCCTCAGGCAGCACACCCTTGATCGTGGGTTTCACGAAAGTGGTAAATGTCCTGCATCACTTCAGGCTTTCCTCCCACATTTAGCTGACATGCCGTGATATAGCTGCAATACTAATCTAAATGGTGTTTAACCAAACTCACAAACGTACTCGCAATATAGAAATATGACTGATCACAATTGCGAACTAAATTATCAATATCCGCTTCTGCATTTTGTATAAGCTAACCCATTTATTTACCTTAATGAATTATCAATAAATCAGAGTCTACATGTATCAATTGCATTTAAATGTCAAACATGCTCAAAACACCACACTGAACGAAATGTCTTTTTCCTGTGGCTCGATCTTGTAGCTGAATCACCATGTCAAACAATTGACGCGTTTGCGGTAATGCTATTTTTTATGCACATCCGATTTTGTCCTATGTGCATTCCTTGCGTGTTTCTAACACCATTTGGATGATTTTTAATACGTCAATCTAATGCTATACAGGGTGTTTTCAAATTAAACTAACAGGTAGCTCATCCACGTGTCATGGACGCACGTGTGGAAGCAACAAATACGGAGCTTTCCATACCAAATCTGACCGACCACTAAACCAGACAAGTTCACCAATCGTTCTTTCTCTTGACATGGAACAGCAGATGAATGCTGGTAGGGATGATACTTCGATCCCAGTTTCTGAGAGGCGAAGTTATAGTAAAACGACGACATCCAACATGCTTCACGCAAAGACCAATTGAAAGGCTAAAGCTAATTGAATGAAGCTCCATCTAGGATCCGACAATCCTTGATGGTAGGTTAAAGTTTACAACTTAAATGAGAGATTTCATTATCGTATCCCAACTGCGAAGATTGATGTTCATTATGTCAACCACTAGGTTGTCTGGTCCCGATTCGGTTATTCACATACAGCCGTCATTCTGCCGGAATATTGCTGAGTGCGTCGATACACACTAAATAAACAACATATAGACATATCTACTCCAGCGACGTTGCATGACTTGGTAGATGTCTTTGTTAACAAATACAATTTGAGGTGGGGTGAGGTGAAATTGGGTTTAACGTCGCGTCCAAGATTATTGCATTTATATAGCGACGTGCATGTACGTGTGTGTGTTTGTGTGGCTGCTTGAACTGGTCCGGACTGATGTAAATGCCGATTTATAGTGCTAGCCCACTGATATACCATGCTGCAGTTTAACATGAATACCCCACTCAGACACAGTATACTGACTCCGAGCCGACCAGTCCTTGTTTTAGCCCCTTAATGCCGAGCGCCAGACAGGGTAACAACAAGTACCTTTGAACGTCTTTTGGTATGACGCGGCCGGGGATCTCCGGGCGGACGCTCTACCACTAGACCACGGAGGCGGTCAAATACAATTTGATGTGTCATGTAGAGTTTCTGAATTTGCTGGTGGTCATTCTATGGCGTTGTCAACGTGTTTTTTCGGGCGCGTGGAGCCATGTTTTAACGGGTGTTCAGTTTAGTTATAACATGACATTTGTTTCAATACCCTTTCAACGCCAATAATTTTTATCACCGCTTTTTTTCTATCTTTATGTGCTACTGCCTAAATAGTTAATAGATGATGAAGATCATTTTTTATATTTCTGTATCATAAAGAGTGCTATATTTTACCTAAATTGTATGGACTACGCATGTTTCTTTCTTATACGCCTATTACACTACTATCATCATGCATGTATACATTCCCACTTACCCTGTTTGTTAATTATAGTTACATTATCTTCACATAGTTTCAACTAAATCAGTAAATGCGTTCTTGCGTGACTAAATTTCTGATCCATAACTTGCCTGTCTGGTTGTTTACATGCATTGCAGGAGAACTACATCGCGGCAATAAATGCTTACTTTTGTAATTCATTCAAATTGTGTGAATAGCGGGTGCAACCGGTTGGGCAGGGCATCCTGGCCCTTTTCGCGAACAACTGATATCACAGATTTCCAGTGATCCATTCATATAATTTTCACGTTGTTTTTTAACTTTTTATGCCCAGTGGAAAAAGTTTCGTCGTATAAACTGGTTATTCTCTGGCGTTAATGTTTTGGTAGGAACATAGAGTTGATTTTTTAACAAAACAGTCAGCTCGGCTGTCCTATAATATAACAACATCGATGAAAATAGAAAAATTGTAGAAAGTATCTATTCTTTGTAAATCCTGTTTCGCAATCATTAGTTTGAAGTAATTGTATCAGCTAATGTGGTCATGGGTTTCCACATATAGCCAAGTTAATGGCAATACATTTTGCAAATTATATGCGATGAAATATTACCTAAATAATACCTAAATTTAAACACATATGTGACATCACTATATTTTAAACTATCTATTATGTTTCACAAATGGGCAGTTGGTTGATAATTATGTAGTACACTTAGAACTAAAGAACTAAAGGCTAGAACTGTTTCTCGAAACCGCATGCTAAAATACGTGGACGTACTAGCCGGCCGAGGACAGAACGTTGCTAAATTAACTATTAGATACTTTCAAATGTGTGTAATCCTTAAAAGCTCATTACATAATATGTACAATGTTGTGTTACATCATGTTACCTGTAAGGGTGGTCATAACGATGTTTAAAGTAATTAGTTAACCCTTTGTTTGTTTGTTTGTTTGTTTGTTTGTTGCTTAACGTCGCACTCAGCCATATTCGAGCTATGACGGTGGTCAGTAAATAATAGTCTACACCAGACAATCCAGTGATTGACATCATGACCATCGATCTACGAAACTTGAATACGGTGACATACATCAACAAAATCAGCGAGCCTGACCACCCCATCTCGTTAGTCGCCTCTTACGACAATCATGGGTTACTGAAGATGAATTATTACCTGGATCTTCACGGGTAAGATACACTTCAAACGAGAAGAGTGAGTATTTGTTAGGTTTAATGCCACTTTGAACAGTTTTCCTGTTATATAATAAATGATTCAGGTCTCCCACATTTACCACGGGTATGGTCCTGACAAACCAAGAAACATAATCGGGGCGAACCGGGATTCGAACCCACACAATCACAGGTTCCTGGTGTGCGCAAGGGACGCTACTATGCAAAGAGAACTGCGGCGCCAAAGACGAAAACGGAAAATAGAAAAAGCCTGTGTCCTTCTTAATCAGTGTGTACTAAAGACGTGCACGTGAGCGGGAAAGACCTGTTGCGTCATGTACCATGCATTGTAAGGATCAACTCGCGAGGAACTTGGCGCACGTTTATCTTGGTCATCAACATTTCTCATTCAGACTTATCGAGCATAAAAGAGACATAAATATTGTTCTCGATAAAGTTCCAGTTTTTGCACAAAGTAAAGTTATGTCAAAGTCTAAAAGTGGGGAAGTATTTTACGTTTGACATCATACTCAAAGTTATCTGCTCACGACATCACCAACTGACAATTATTAGCATGTTGTCCCAAACCGAGTAAATATACACCAGAAAGCTCAAAACGTGAAAGGTCTCCGTTGAGGCATGTCACATGTATTGCATTACTATGCTAGGTCACCCTGACCGTGGAATGATATGTCACTGGAGTGCAGATTAGAAGTAAACACAGGGAGTCTATTGAGGGCTTACAAGAATGCAATGTCTCTGTGCTACATGTGTTCAGTGGATACTTTGACAGACGTTGTTCGTGTTTACGTGTAATGTTTACAGAAAGAATTAACCTTTGAGTTCGGAGAGACGACAAGCTAGTTGAAATATGATCCTCGATTGTTTACAATCAGCTGTAATCACGAGCAGATTATAAAGGACTCGTTGGATAATAAACGATGATATGAAGGTGCTTATCATCTGGTCATTTCAAAGTAAAAGCGTAATGTTATGACAAAGGACACACATAGTATCTCATGGATATGTAGATACAAAATCGCATACCACTACCATAATCATGTACCAGTATACTCAATGAATCGCAGTAAAATTAAATGATCAAAATGAGTACTCACTTCACACATGACCATACCGCATTCGTTCTCAATGTAACTACAGGTGTCGGCAACCAGGAAGGGAATTATGTGTGACAGTTAAAGTTCACATGATCAATGTCAGTGTGTATTTCAAATCTCGACAGATATTCAGCTGTTGTTTGCATTTAAGGTGGCTCGTTTGACATTTGTTCAGATTCCGAGGGACCTGGTGAACAACGAACAAACATAAGTTAACAAACAAGGCCAACCTATCTAGATCTCTTTCACCTGTAGACAAACTATGCATTGACGCTATAGAATATGTTTATCCTTATAGGCTGTATAAATGTCTCTTTTCAACATAATGCACACACGCCACCCCATTCATCAACACAGACATGCGGTACAGTTTTTCATGCGCAACATGGCAGTCAGTATGCGGTGGCGATCTTGTTTATGAGATGTAACATTGTTGATATGGAGGTATTTGCTGCTGCTGGAGTCTTGGAGCACCAAATTTGCCATTTTCGTGTTTCTTCAAATAATGCATCCTGTAAGGCCAGAACGTTAACTGAGGATGGAATCTGCAAAATTCACGCATCAGTTTTTGGCTTGACTCTAAAACCTGAAAACATCCATTCCAAAGTTCAACCAAAAAACTGTGTTATATTAGCATCATCCCCCACCATTGGGCACATTAGAATTATATTTGTTCATATAGTAGTATATATACGCGGAGAAAGGGAGGGTAACTCCAGAACAAAAACATTACGGCATACGTCTTGACAAGCTCACTGGAACTTTTTGTAAAACAATCAATTAACCTCACAGCGAGGAAGTAGGCTGGGTCGGGTGCCACTTGTAAATTGTGATTTGTGTTGGTTTTTCACCATATCCATTTTTCACCATTCTTATACAAGTTCCGTTGTCTAGTGGTATTTTCGATCAGGTAATTATTATAACGGTTCTCAGACATCTTCGCGTACATCTTTTTGTAGAAAATCTAAAATAGTATGACAGTTTCAGTGCTCTGTTAATATGGGTTGAAAGTTTCATAGATATTGTATGAAAAAATATGGATATTTGATCCGGAAATGAACACAACAACCCATCAGGGTTTCAAGTTACGCTCTGGTTATGAAAGTAACCTGTATTTGAGTTACTTCCAACTTGCTGCCAAGGAAACAAGGAAACTTTAAAAAAAATGTTTTAAAGTATTTCAGGTTTTTCGCACTAAATGCATCCTCCAGTTTTTTACATTTTGGGGGAAGGTTTCCAGAAGGTTTTCGGAAGGTGTCTGGGCCGGATCCAAAGTCGGAAGGTTGGATGGTAAACGGAATAAAGGCACCAGTTCAGCATGTGTTTTATACGAATGCAAAGTTTCGTCATAAAATATTATTAAACGCTTTCCGAGTTGTGCTCCGGAAACGTAACGTGGCGGACAAGAGGAAGGACGGACGGACAGCACCCATTCATATATCCCCTTACCAATTCGTAGCGGGGGATAATGAACTCCGTACAATGAGAGAGATATATCATTGGGTCCAAAAAAGTACCAACATATCCGTGTCACAAAGATTAACTATAATAGTTAATGCAGCGAAAGACGTGCTTTATAATCACTGAAAGAGACCATGTTGAATTCTTTTTGATAAATGACTAGAAAAATAACATAATTGTGACAGTTAGGGTTGGCATCGACATGGGCACTAGTTCTCCCCTCCTTGTTGATATGAATCGGAATTTGTCTCTGATTAACAAAAACAAAACAAGATCATCTTAAATTCTCAGGTATATCGTAAATCTGATGTCGTTCAACAATGGTCAAATAGCCAATTCCCCATCAACCATGTACTCACCTGAACTAGAAACAATAGACACCAGTGAAAACGCCTCATCTGTTTCATGGTAGATCTATGCATAAAAGCTTACAAACAACTACATGATTATGAAAAGTCATCTTTCCCTTTGTGTCTAGCAGTATTCAAGAAGATCCAGCCTTTGGTGTCTACTTTTCACAACTTTTAAGGTACATTCGAGTATGCTCTTTCTACGAAGATTTCAATGAGCGTCATGCGACTCTTGGTCAGAAGTTGCTTCAAGGCCTTAGTAAAGCTTTCAAAACGTTTTATGGTTGACACGTGGAGGACATCTCTAAATCTGACACATCAGTGATAAAAAGGATGTCCTTTGCAATTCCCGATTTCTACTTGTACCATATGTTTTTTAACTTGTCGTACCATGTGCTTGTGACGGCAACACCGCAGAGACACGATACACACAGTTTTTTTAGAAAACATGGGATTGTCTATATTTGATAGCGCTCATAAAAGCATGCCTATTGCATAGTCGGATTTGTACAATAGATACTGGCTTTTTGAAGAGATTTCTCTTGATTGTGAAAAGCGTTTTGTCTCTTTTATTTCAATCTCGATGAAAGACAAAGTCGATGCATTTTAAATAATTATGTATGCAGAGTAAGCTCAAAAGATAGTTTGACTTTAACGCCACGTGTACACAAAGCAGTATTCCAGCTAGATGAGGGTGGTCTGCAACTATTAGAGTCTCAACCGGACAATCTAGTGTTAGCATCATGAACATCGATCTACGCACTTGGAATACGATGATATGCATCAAACAAGTTAGCTGGTTTGACCACGCGTTCCTGATAGTCGCCTCTTACGACAAGTATGGGTTACTGAAGACCAATTCTTACCTGTATTTCCTCGTGGATGAAAACGATCAACCCGCTATTCTGTGTGCATATGAATGTTACATATCAAAGTACACGAGTCGTCACTGAAAGCAGGAATGTGTATGAATAAGAAATTCGTTGTTTGATTTTATATTTGACTGTTGCCTGTTTCTCTAGCACTTGAAAATATAATAATCGACAATGAAGTATTCATATTATCTCTATCACAACAAAAATACAAGGACCATAGAGATAAGATTTATTTTTATTTCGAAGGCTTGGCTCGGTAATATCACATAAATGGCGATCAGGAGGTCCAACAATTCACACATGTTTATTCTATGTACTTTTTGAAAGCATCGCCTTCTGACAAGCTCATTTCCCGATATGTATCAGTAGACTTTCTTTCTTTTTGTATGTTGCCAAAATACAGAAAGATACAGAAAGCGTCCACTTTAATACATGAATGGACACTGGCGCGCCGCGTCTGAAATTTTAAAGCACTGTATTGTATGACTTTCAACATACATATCATGTGTCCAAACACACTACCAGGATATAGTGTACATTGCGCCCACTGAGGATATTTTTCCTCATGTGTTTCAGCAACAGAAATATATGGCCAAAAACACTAAATAAGGATCGTATTAAGTGTCCATGGTACCACTCACATGTTGACACGGAAGGTTTGCATTCATCTGTGCAAACAGCAGATTTCGTAGATAAACATGTCATTCATTGAATCCGTCAAGGTCACGTCATTACAACACCGATATCAGGAAAATCCTTTTTAAGGTATTTGGTTTGCTAATGAAACAGGACATGTCTGATATAAAACATTCAAATATACTGGAAGAAACGGAATGAAATCAGTGAACAACATTACTTTGTCCCTTTTAGTTTTTGTAAAGCAATCAATAAACTTTGTATCATGTAAGGGAAAGATATCAGTTTAAAATCGGGAATCGAACCCAGGTCTTCGGCGTCATAATATATAGTTGAGACGCAATGTGCAATGGAATAGGAGGTTAAGCGTAGAATTCTCATAGGATGACGAATAAAAGAACCTTCATTCAAGCTCGAAAACATATTATTATTTATGAAGGAGGCAACTTTTACTACTGTTCATTGTAAAAAGTTGCCCCGACCACATTGAATATCCGCAACGTGCCAAGGGTCACTGCTACAGAGATTATCCAGCTTGAGACGTCCTCGTTAACGAATAGAGAAATAGACATAAGTATGTGAAACTAAAACATCACTAATGCATTCCAGAAGTTATGCCAGATTTTAAGATATAGATGCACTGTTCATGTTTTGCACGTAATATTTATCTGCCAGCGATTCATTCAGAAATACCTTTGGTCATTTTAGTTTTTAACACTTATTGTCTTCGACGCCTTATGTATTAGAATATATGTTATAAGGGTGGACATAAACTTTGAACGCAGTTTACAATTTAACTACCCAGTACAGCTATAAGAAAGTGTGTCTGTCCTTATTCACCCTGTTCCAGACATGTCCTCGCCAACTGGAGTGGTTCTAGATACCCATGCTGGCACTTGTATATAATAAGAAACTAGTAACATGGTTTCGTCCCATATATCAGGCTCAAGGTCTTCATGCAATCAGGCAGTCCGCCTATGAAAGACATGATAACATCATCATCATCATCATCATTCGACCAAAGGTCAACAAAGCAATTCGCATCGGTATTATCAAAAATAGTTTCGAACATGACATTTCTTTCTTGCATATTAATAGTACATGACGACAAAAAATATGTTTGACAATGTCATGGGCTACAGTTTCGAGATTCTACCATACAGTATATTAGACAGAACACAAAACTTTAAGGGAAGCGTAAAGAAAGTTGCCAAATCCTGTGGTGACCTTCTGATCTGGTACTAATATATCCTAACAGGTCCTTTCGATCGCACATTTGTCTCATAAGCATTAAAGAATCTGCATTTCGTATCTTTTCATTCATAAGACGAGTCCGTTTACATTTACAAGGAACATTACAGCTAGCTATGCAATCACTCAAGACATGGAAAAGATCGTATTTATGAACAAGGCGCAACATGTTGAAACAGGGAGATTTATAACACATTTTTTTGACAATTCATTTATATTGCTTTAGTAAGCCAATTAATATATGTATAAAATAGAAATCAGAGCTAGATCGACACAGGTTACCAAATAAGAGAGGTTATAAATGAATGCCTGAAAGGTTATAAGATCTAGACTATACAATACAACTTGACTTGATGTAAATCTTAGTAGATCCTGTAGTTTTATACTGAAGTAGCGCTGTGGTATTTCCAGCAATTCATACTTTCTGTGAGTAATTTGCCCGCATACACTGCATCCATATAAGGCAACACGCTGAAATATTCGCACGGCTGCAATTGGGTTCAACCCACCGAAATACAAACCATTGTTTTGGTTTACATTGATAAGTCTTTTCAGTTTTTCACCTGCAGTTTGCGAGCATTCAAGTACTGAGATACTGTTACCAAGGCATACCCAAGCACACCTTACAGAATTCTTGTGTGGCAAATCTATCTTTCCGGAGGACACATAAGGGTCAAATTCATCTATATTTACAGAGCGAAAATACTACGACTGCACTTTTATTTGCAATGTAAACCAGATGCCATCTACACGCATAATTATGGGCAACATCTAACAGATTTTGCAGTGCTGATGGAGAGCTACTAACAATGGTTGTATCGTCTGCATGTAGTTGACCCGGATAAGTGACCCCAAGGTAAGCGGAGGCCGTAGCCAGAACAATGAGATCATTGATATAATGTAAAAAGCCAGGCAGATAATATAAAGTTAAATTGCGAAACCGACTTTGCTGTAACACAAACCATCCTATTACTGCTGCAATAAAGAGAATTTCATTCACAATGGCGTGTATGTGTTATTCAAGACACGATATGAACGATCTATAGTTACTGTTTCTTGGATGATTTGGCTCAATGCTATATCACATCGGCCTATTCACACTTGGGTCCAGATAAACCAGTGGTTGTTATTATGAGCAACGTCCAACGCCATCGGGGAACGATGACACGCGGTCACCAAGTCTAACCAAGCGATCCATTTTAGCCTCCTCACAGGAGAAGCATATGTAACTTGGGTCCTATTGTATCCAAGAATTCACATGGACCCTGTCTCTTGAAAACACACATACATTTATATACCACTTATGAACACAGAGTAGAAATGTGATTTGATATGATACCATACATTGATTCAATCATACAGGTATTTAGCAGACAAAGAGATATCACGTATGTACATGTACATTGTATGTACTTCATTGTCATATATATTTTCCTAATTGAAACCTTTCTGTCATGTACTCTTATGATGACATTTTGCTAATTATTATGACATTAAATGAACAGCCCAAAGGTAGTACTCACCATTCACATGAACATGTCTCGGTTGCTCAAATACGATAGCACTTCATGGGTCTATGCGTTGGCAACAAGGAAGTGAATTGTATAAGGTCACATGGATGTAATGAATACAATGTGATTGTGTTATATTATTCAAACTATTCCGTGTTGTGTATATGTAAAAGTTTTAGTTTTCTGTCGAATGAGCTGACATAGATAATTACTCTGATATAAACAAACAGCCAACCATGATAAACATCAACAGAATAATAATCTCTATGTACACATATGTACGATGATGAACGATACATTGGGCTGTTGAAGTAGAGGTTCAACTGTCCCTAAAAATCACAACAGTACAACTATTTCTGTAAAAAATGAATATGATGGAAGTGTTGGTAAAGGTCATATTTTGGAGGTAAACATCTTTATTAATTTATAAATGATACGTTTGTACCGTTATTGTTACACTTTACGCAGTTGTCTGCCTTACACCATACAACGTGTTTGGCGAAGTGTGGACTCTGGATTTTAATAAGTAAAATATATGTAAGATGAGTTCCTAGGGTGATAAATTCAATGGTGACAATACAAGTAAAGAGTAATTCCATTGGTAGTATGTTGTTAACTTTGTTATGATTATATATCACGTGTCCGTTTGGCGTGTCTCGTTTTCGGAGTATGTGTACTATATTGGAGTTTGAAGGATAGCAATAGCAGGTGCATGTATGGCGGATCACACTCATTGTATCGTGTTACTAGTAAGGTCCTATTTCCGTCTTAGATTTGGTTTAATGTCAGTGAGATCATTATTGTTAACATTGAATCCATGATGTGAGAGATCTGATATCATTGTGCAATAAAGTATTGATCTCATGTATGCTTAAAGTAGTGCATACACTAAATACTCAACAGACTCAACAGAACTGTGTACATTTGTCATATAAATAAAACTAAAATGTGTTCACAAAGCAATGGCATGTACAGTACTTCCCTGTCTAATTCGACAGCCTCGTTGGTCCAGTGGATAGAACGTCTATCCGTGGAGTGAAATGTCGGTGATTCGATCTCCGGCCGCGTTACTCCAAAGACGATGAAAGATGGTACTTTGTGTATCCGTGCTTGGTGCTCGGCATTAAGGTGATAAAACAAGGACTGGTATACTGTGTATGAGTGGGGTATCTATGTTAACACTCTGGCATGGTATCTCAGTGAGTTTGCACTATAAACAATGTCGTTAGTATGAACTAGAACAAACAGTACATCTGTACATACACACAGATACATGCCTCGCCTCGCCTCGCCTCGCCTCGCCTCTCAGACGATTAGTACTTTGGTGAAACCCAGGAGCACCGGTATGGTGCTGACAAACCAATAAACATAATCGAGACGAACCTGGATTCGAACCCATAAACATAGGTTTCTGACGCAAATCTGCACAGCGAATCGCGGCGCCTTAGACGACTGGGCCACCCGTGCCCCCTGCCTTTGCACGTATTTGTGGCAGGTCCGTCGGTTTGGCAGGATAGGCTCACCTTTTCCTGAGCACCTGGTATCATCACTTTTTGATCGTGTTTCATGAACACATGCTTCTGATAAAGCAGGAAGCGTACAATGGATTCTTCTTGTAGAGGATATTTCTTATGATTATGGATTTTTATTAAGATTATTAAAATATTTGTTAGTCGCTTATGTGTGAAAGCAGTCATTACTTCTATGATCTGGAACTAGCCAAAATACTGTTACCTTCGTAAACGATATTTATTAATAACAATATGATAACACTATTGTTCGACTATTGTCATTCATGTTTGTTTGCTGTTTAACGCCTCACTTAGCAATATTGCTGCGCCTTATTTATTAGACGACTGGGCCACCTGTGCCCCACAACATAATAATGAAAGTTTAGGCGGATAATCAAGACTGGTTATTCTCTGGCGTTGTCGTTTCATATTTGGTCGATGTTTAAGCTGGTGGTCTGAAGTCCCCTTGTTTCAGTGTAAGCTCAGTAGCATTTATGTCAATTACAAAACAAATGTTGGGCCGAAACATTAAAACTATATTGCAAAACGAACATATTTCTTAAATTCTGTTCTCTACTTACAAGTAGCAGAATCCCTGCACGTCTGTGAATGGCGGGCGCTGACGGGAGGGCACGACACGCTTCCCCTTTCCGCGAAGGCCGGGCGTTTTAAATTGTATGTGATAATATGTAGTGTTACTCAATCTAATTATGTTATACAAAGAAGCAATATATATCATATTTGTCATAGTACCTTCTGGAAAATCGTCACGATATGGCTGAAATATTGCCGATGTGACGGGAAACTTTAACTCACTCACTCACTCACCTTCTGGAATCATAGGCTTCCCTTGCACCATTTGATCTACTTAATCTCACATTATAATTATTGAAATGGAACTATACCTATCACCTTAGATAATTTGATTTAAACTATGACATAATGTGCGAATGTGTGTATTGCCTGATGCAAATATGTTAAGGATCCGCATAGATCAACTGTAAAATGGGGTGAACTGCAACCAAGCGGCAATCTCAATATTTGTGACAGCTAATTTGCATTCAAAGCACATCACAGCGCATGTACACATTTCAGCAGCGAGTTACAGGTGACAGCGCCACCTTAAAGCGACGGCTGCTAATGTAATGGCTGTCACAGGCTACCTTTTGCTTCAAAATAATATTGTTGAAGAAGAACACTATAAAACTTCAATCAAATTAATTTAAACAAATACCTCGGCCTTTGGGGCATGTCCACATTAGTCGCAATTAAACAGGACATTATCTTGTTTGTATATTTGTTGTCTAACAACGTACTGTAGATAATCGAATAGTCATTATGACTATTCATTTCTATTCATAACTATGCATTTCCATTTTCCTTGTCAAACGCGGAATGCCAGCGAAGTCCTCTGCCTGCTAACAGGTCCATGTACATGTACCTGTGTTGAGTTTCAATAATAATATTATCTCGTTAAAATATCTACCTGATATATACTACAAGTCAAACACTATTCATAGACAAATACAAGGCGCTATAACAAATATTATTTCGAATTTATTGATATAGGGCATATTTGAATGAAAAGCATATATGAGTATGTGATAATTGATTTCAGCGTACAGCATATCATAAAAATAAACACTATTGGACTCTTTCTATAACCTGCTCTAGATATCTTTGTATTGAACGCAGCAACTACCGGGCTTTCATTTTGTCATATTTATATTTCATAAACAAATACCAGTAGGACAATCCCAGAATCCACAATTCAATACGTAAAGGATATTTTGTTTTTATTGTTAAATAACATGTTTGTCTCATGGAGTGACTGGATAAAACTGATATTTGTGAGACACGTCACGAGATGAGATAAACATGTTATTTTATAAGAAAAGCCAAATGACATATGAATATTTTCTCGCTGATCTGGCAGACTAAGTAAACAAACATGATATTATTTCATTCCAATGACTACGGTCAGTCCAGTCAGAAAGGTCGTGACTGATCATGATGTTTGATAAAAACACCAAGGTTAAACAACATACTGGTGTTCACTGGTCAGGCTGCTGGACCACAGTTTAAAAAATGAGACCAAAACCCCACAAAAATGTGTACTTGGATTCATGTACTAGAATATGATTCCAATACACCTGCTACTGACCTGGAATGAGTAACACATGATATGACGGTACACATTTATGACAAATATCTATGCATATACTGCTATGCACCTAGGCCTTTAACAAACTAAGCTCTACCAACTATATATTACCATATAAAATAGTCAATTTCTAAAAATCGTATTAATTTTCTGATGAAACACGTTTGGTTTTTTCACAAAGAGACATATATATGTTGAAATATAGAAACCAAAATCGAGCATCAACTGGTTATTTGACTATCCCTTATTTGCGCCTCTGTGTCTTTTAAATCCTATAATATGACCTAGTCTCAGCAAAACATACAGTGGTCTTGTACTTTCATTTTCGCAGGTATCGATGGCAACTCAGATATGAAACTAAAGAAGGGTGTTTTACATTTTATGAATATTTCAATGCAGGGATATAGTTACAGTTGCATCGCTGTGGGCAATATTAAAAAATGTATATCATATCGAGGAACACTTGGAATTAGATTCACACACTGTATCTGTGTATCTTTGGTCTTCAGTTTGACAAGTGAATGCTTTATCCGCAAGGCTTATCCCTCGCCTCCATAACAATTGTACATATGCACTGAGGGGTTCACAATGTACATAGAAAATATAATGAAAATAATGTATTTGTATCCGTTGGCGAAAAAGAGGAAAAGTTATTGTTACATGTTGTTCGTTTTTCGCTCCAACAAACAGTCCTATGAATCTTTCAATTTGAACAAGGGAAAATGTTTATGAAAAAGGAATACAGACGGATTCAAGGAACAGCCACCTCATAGACCACCCACATAATATATGTATGAAATATGTTATGGCTGGTTGTGAGAAACACAGTATTAATATGATTGCATAATGTTACAACTTCATATTTCATCAAATCAGTTACAACCTTCTATCAAAAGAGAAACTACCATTTAATCAAGGAGAGACCGTACGAAACTGACTGAACAGCGTGCAACTCGATGAGGACAACCAGGAAGAAAGATACAAGGTCAAGTAGAGGTAATGCGACATTCATTTAAGAAGGCCTTCTTTCATAAGTATTCTTATATTGGTCAAAATGCACTCCCTGAGTGTAGCAATGAAATCAAAAAGAGATATAAATAAACGACAAAACCCTCTCAATATCCAATAGAAATCTCTGCATAAAGCAGAGTCGATTGTACGATTCCGACTATGTATTTATGAATCATCATCAAATAGAAATCATGCCATGTGTTCACAAAAATGTGAGCTTATCCTGGCCACCCGGTGGCACTCGTCACAAACACATGCAAAAGCAAGTCAATTGTTCATCTGAAAAAAACAGGGGAACATATGGTACAAGTCTATAGGGAATAGGGAATGGTTAATAAAAGAATGTTTTATATCATTTTTTATATCGTATTTTAATCCTGTATGTGTAAGCAACACTGTCGCTGGAGCATGTGTTCAACATGCTGTATATTATTCACCAACATAGTCCCAGGAGATATGTTGAACAAACTACACATACACAGCTAAAAATATTCATCGTTTACATTCTGTGACCTAAATTATTTCAACAGTTCCTTGTCATAAAGAAGCCTCGACCACTTCTCTGTGTGTTTCGAATGGGTTCATGCGGACAATAAGGAACACATTTTTTATGCATGCACATTTCTAATGATGAAACATTTGTTCGTCCAAGGTACATGTGGTAGAACTATGTTTTAAAGTCTGGTAACTGTTCAGAACAGCACATGTCCCAATCGACCACATAGAATGAGCACACAGCAGTCAAAGCTGTATTGTTAATAAAAGCGAAACAACACTTCAATAACCATGAGGAATTTGTACTTAAAGAAGAGTCCATTATACGATTCTGACCGTATCATAGGCATGTGTTTATGAATGACTTATAAACTTTGACCATACCATGGACAGGTGTTCGCGAAAAGGTGAACGTATCTTCCACCACACGTGACACCAGTAAAAACAAATATCATGGCTATTAAATTGTCCACCTGAAACTCTGAAACACCTGAAAATGTTTGACATTGGCGGAATCGTACAATGGACTCTGCTTTTAAACAGACATGTATTTGTAGCTTTTAAGTGTTCAGTTCAAATTCGGCCCTGATGGACTTCCTCTGCATTAACATAAGGACTGACATGACCAATGTGTTCATATGTGTTTTCCACAACTGGGTCTTTGGTCTTCTCATCTAGAGAAATGTAGTTATCTTCAACCTTCTTTAGTGAAGCAGACAGTTGCCGCGTCAGTCTGAAATATACAGTAATACGCTGGTGACGTTAAACATTTCAAGATGATTTGTTATATGTATAACTATTTACATTTATGAAATAGGAGCCACTGGCCTGGTTGATTGCACGCAAACGTTATTATGTTTACCGAAATGCACTCAATGGTACGTACATCCCACTGAAGGAGAAAATTTAGTCAGACTTTTTATCTATCCTAATAAATAATCCTTTGAATAAAATATGCTTCAAATAATAAATACCGTTATCGCCAATACATTCGTATATGTTTGTACCAATTGATACATTCCTTTAATACTTGACATGAATGTACATAAACGTATATGACTTGATGAGGGAGATCTAAACAACGGAAGCTCTGTGTGAAATTTGAAATGTGCTGCATAGGAATGCACATGCAAAATAGCCTCCAATGCATAATTGGCAAAAAATCAGTAACTTTTGTCAAATAATCTTCTTTTCGAGTTCATAATATTTTATCTTTTACACAGTATTAGACCCCTACCTTCTGTTGTAAAAGATGGATGTCAACAGAGCGACGACCATCAAGACGAGAAGTGTAACGAGCGTTGCTACAACTGGCGCTTCCCGGTTTAAACATCCTGGTGTTGCCGGACACACACACTCTGTACAACATTGTTTGTTTTAAAAACAATACTGGTAAGTAATTCATATTCCTCAATGTTTTTAGTAGATTGGACTTCTGCCTTGATATGCCTTACAACGTTCATTTTAAAGGTGAGGTGAAATGAAATTGGGTTTAACGTCGCGTCCAAGATTATTGCGCTAATATAGCGACGTGCATGCACGTGTGTGTGTGGCTGCTTGTACTAGTCCGGACTGATGCCGATTTATAGTGCCATCACACTGAGATATCATGCCGCAGTTTAACATGGATACCCCACTCAGACACAGTATACTGACTCCGAGCCGACCAGTCCTTGTTTTAGCCGAGCGCCAGACAGGGTAACAACAAGTACCATCTTTTAACGTCTTTTGGTATGACGCGGCCGGGGATCGAACCCCGGACCTTCTGCTCTCCGGGCGGACGCTCTACCAACAGACTACGGAGGCGGTCCCCTCATTTTAAAGAATAGTAAAATAATAAACAAAGAATTCGTACAATATTGATTTACTCATCAATTATCAGGATCACTAACCAAAATTTGTGAAAGGTCGACGTTAAAATATAAAAGAAAGAAAACGTTTATGTTAATTATTTTTCCAGCTTGACCGTTATGACTTACCTTGGCACAGGGGCTTCATGAAGTGGCCCTGACATCCTTCAGGACATTCCCCACTGGACTTATCACAGGTCAGGGCGTCTTTACATTGACCGCATCGTGACATGCAGTCATCCCCGTACATACCATCAACGCATTCTAGTGAGTAGACGACATAAATGTTTCATCTGATATCTTTACTTTTATGAGATAATGACTCACTCACTCACTATGTACATGTAGGTGGATTGCCTTAAAGTGGCAGCTATGTTGCAATACATCTGTTCTTGCAAATCAGATATATATTTAGGGGATAACGATAAGATATTTGATTCCAAATGAAAAATATAAGGTAGCCAATCTTTGGTTACACAACCGCAAATTTCAAAACACAGAAGGTTTATCTCCACTCTTAGTGAATGACCAGAACACGTTAAATTGGTACTCTTATAATTACATGGGTAAATAGGTCAGCTATTGTAGAAGATTATGAAAATGGGTCACAGGTAGTGGAAAACATACTTCTACGACTCATTGTTCAAGATTAATTAGTTATATTCTTGACTGGTTTCAAATAATTGTGATATAATAAATATTTGTTTTAAAAAAGTGTGATGAAATAACTTTTCATAGATATTGATTTTATTTCAAAGCAACATGTTGCATATATTGCATGAATGTAACACTTTCCATTGTTGTGGTTGCAGGACTAGTGACAGTGATAAATAATCCTGATCTAATTTATTTCTCAAATATAGAATTACTTGCCGTTAAAGCTGTTTTATTGTTGTTGTTTTTTTACATAGACTTACTGATGTCGTTGCGCTACGATAGAACAGGGTCAGGCACCAAAACGTTTAAAGTCACTTCACAATACCCAATGACGTAATTTGTGACATTTTGTTGCAAGACACACCCGCGAAACACTGCCATGTGATGTCAGTCTAGCAACAGGGTTGCTGGGGTCATCGTGTGTGCATAAGCTTCTCTCAGTGATCTGGCATCTCCACACGCAATGTCGTTGAATGGTCCCTGGGATGTGAAGGGTTTCAATATTTGTTTGCGAAACTTGTTACGGCAGTAAAAAAGCACGCGCTTTGGTTTTTAAACACCTTATAATATCAGCTTATTGTCATTAAAAAGATTAACTCTTCATGAGCGAGTAATGACACATTATTAAATTCATGTTTTTGTTTATATTGAAGTTGAACTTACTAAATTACTCCTAAGTAATATGGGGGCACGGGTGGCCCAGTTGCGTCCCTTCGGCACGCCAGAAACCTATGATTGTTGGTTCGAATCCCGGTTCGCCCCGATTATGTTTCCAGGTTTGTCAGCACCATACCCGTGCTCGTGGGTTTCACCGAAGTGGTAAACGTCTGAGAACTGCATCACTTCGGGCTTTCCTCCCACATTAAGCTGACACGCCGTGAAATAACTGGAATAATGTTAAAAGCGGCGTTAAACCCAACTCACCTCACCTCACCTAAGTAATATTACTACATATTCACCCCGAACTTCGACCAGGCTGTTCTTCACATACTTCCGTACTCTTCACTGACCATGTCTGTCAAACCCAAACTAGTTGTTGACAGTGACAGTGCTATCACGAATTGCATGAACACACAGGACAACCCCTTTGTAATTATGTTCACCATTAGCCTGATGATTTACTGGTGGAAATGGCCAGGTGGCACAACCCCACTGTCAACGAAATCATGCTGGGGTGTGGCTGAATGCCGCCGTACTTCAGCTGAAATTGAGTTGGCACAGAACCACACGGGAGACTGCTCAGCTTTGCAAAACAGTGGTTAGTGGATGTTTTACTTAATTGTGCATATTCTGAAATAGATATGACCACGTTTAGTAAGCTGTTGCAAATAAGTGCTTGTTCAGTCCTAGTGTTCCAGTGGCTGACATCTAACACTGTTCTGATATAGAACGTATACAGTTCTAATGGGCAGCTATTGTTATATGCATCGATGGGTAGGCTATTGATACATGTATATCGATGTTGTCACATGCAATGTTTTTGTGTGAATTGTGGGGTATCTATTGGAATAAGATGCCCAATTATAGCATTCCAATTTTGGCTAATCACATCAAGATTTCATCAGTTGAAACAAATTGAAATATCTCCATTGATATTAAAAACAATAAATGAAAAAAATTTGCTTAATAGCCTTATTACTTCAGAAAATGCTCCCAAATTCGAATTCAAGAAGTACTGGGAATTATATACATGGTCAGACATATGTACCTTCATAATGTACATGAAATAACAAATATATTAATATAAAACAAGATTAAGGACAAACATAATAAAATGTTTCTGAACAAAGCCTCCGGACCGGAAAAAAATTGTCATAAAGTATTTGAGAAATTGCATATTTTTCGTCCAAGAATTGTATTCAATATGTCTTTACAGGCAAAGATATTTCAGTTAAAGAGAAAAAACAACAACATCATGACATTATTTAAGAAATGTTAAAACATTTGTATAGTTACCTCTGGTTGTTGTATAACGATCAGTCGGGGTTTCAACCTGATCACTCAACAATCCATCAACTAATCGCACTTTATCATCAAACTTTACAGCGTAAGAAAACTATCGTATTGTATTCCGTGATGGGGAAAAGCCCATATTCAAGAAAATGGTAAGCATGTTCTGCCCAACCGTTAGCACTCGCCATTCACACGATTTGCAAAAAAGTAAGTATTTATTGCCCGACTTCACACAGCAGTACTCCCGCCACGATAATAAAAACGATATTATAATTTTGAATTGTTGTTGTCTGTTGTTTAACGCCGCACTCCAGCTATATGATGGCGGTCTGTAAATAATTGAGTCTGGAGCAGACAATCCAGTGATTGACATGTCAGTGAGCCTGACCAACCGATTCCGTTAGTCGCCTCTAACGACAAGCGTAGTTGCCTTTTACGGCAAGCATGGGTTGCTGAAAACCTATTCTACCTCGGATCTTCACGGGTCTAATTTTGAATTACGTCTGTTGTGTTCAAGTGCAGAGATTCTGCTGCATGTAAGTAAAGAACAACGTTGAAAAATATATTCGTTTTGCAACAGAGTCGGCATTGGCATAATGTCTCGGCCCAAACATTTCTTTTGAAGTTGGCTCAGCACAGAAATATGCTTCAGAGCAAGAAATTAGAACAATTGCCATTAACATTGTAACTGGTCTACTGACATGTCAGTATGCCCCCTGACATTTATTGCATTGTAAAATTACCTGGGAACTCTTAGTTTGGCATAGAAAGAAACGTAAACTTTGTCTAATCCTAATATGGCTATGTACTATCTAACAGATATTCTACCGTAATTTTTAGGTCGCTGCAGTCTCGGGAATTCTGAAAATATCAATGTTCCTCTCACAAGACTAAGACACACTGCAACAGCGCACTTCGTAACCAAATAGAGCAATGAAATGCTGAGGCATACCTTAGTTATATGTGGATGATATAGTCAAGGATATACTTCAACGTAAGTAGTGTGATCTCACAATTTGACGCATTTTTAGGTTCATTCTCCCCTAAAGTTGCACATTATGCATGAGTAATTGACCACGATGAAACTTATGAATGTCTTCATTTTTATTCAACATAATTAATCAATAAGGTTCAATGGTTACAGAGCTAAATTTAATGCATGCTAGGTGTGATATGTCCAAAGATACAATGTAACAAAGTCGACCCTTCCATTTAGGGTAAAACCAGATACGTTACATTATGTATTTATAGAACATTGTATTGATTGACTAATTAGTACATCCATTCATTCGTTATGTTCATTTTCAGAAAAATTGTAAACTGCAGTATGAAAGAACAACCACAGTGACCGCTACCTTGCTTGCAGTTACAAGGAATTGGTTGTAGTTTTCTCAATGAAAAAAAGTGACTTTACAGATATTGTGAAGTTCTACTCCTCTATGAATGCGACACACTTAACTGCTTGAGAGTGTGATTGTTTTTACCATTAAATTAAAGTTCAATATCATGTCAATGATGAAACATGAAGTCATCAGCAATTTGGGAAATAATAGTGACCCAAATATGGTTTTAATAACGGTAACGTATCTGGTCATTATCAATGCTTTGACTGGTAAGACAAAACAGTGAACATATTGAACCATAACAGTAAAATTCAACTGATAAGTATTTCTTTTATAATCACATTAGTATAAAATACTCATGTCCTGGTATTCAAGACAGTAGTTTCAAAGGAACATTAGGCAAAGTCAATTATTGCAACGTATCTGGCCTAACATCTACCATTCCTAACGTATGTAACATGGCAACTGGAACAAGTAAACACAAATGAATCATTTTTAGGCACTTTGTATTAAGAAAAAAGTTGAAAACATTCTGTGCCGCATTTAACAAAATAAAGTCCTACACCACATGGTAACGTATCTGGCTGCGAAATCCATTTGTTCACTTCGTATTTACAAACTGAAGGATGGATTCGGAATCTTCAGTTGATAATGTGCTGTACCTTTTTGACCTTCCAACAGGCAATGGCTCGGATACAGACATGATTATTTTACTAAATGGGATCCAGATTTCATCTGATTTTGAGGGCCACTGCAAATGGGTTTTGCCACTGGCGTCATGCTTGGACATAAATGTTATTAAAGCATCCGAGTCGGTCGCATCTACCTCAAGAACTCTACCTACATACCAGTGATTGTCGTAGGTAGCTGCAACAAACTCTCCTACTGTAGGAATGAATGGTGGGACAATCTCCAGATTGTTAGGTACAACATTATCTGATTCAGGAGCATCATCAGTTGAACTTGGTTGAATAATTTCATGATCACTTTCAACATCGTTGATGGTTTTCACTGGTTCAACCAGGGAACGTTAAGTCCATCCTTGACATGGTGTAGACCAGTGCAAACATCCCAAACAATAACAAGACGTATCCCGGATGCTGATTTTACCATCTCCAGTGGTCTTTACAGCATGGAGCTTCATGGTTCCTTTGAGAGGCTTAGTTGTCATCTTAGAAAGATACAACATCGCTTCATCATAGTCCTCTTGAGTGTAGAATTGGTACTCTATTGATTTCTCATTTTGTCTTGCCCACTGGTAGAAGTCTCGACCATCTTGTATTGTTGTTTTTCCTTGCTTTATTGCTTGGGCTGCCATACGTTTACACGTGCCGCCAATGCCATCACATGGCCCCTTGCCATGGCCTGCCTCGAAATAATTCCACCTAGCTTCTATACCAAAAAGTTCAAAATGCTGTGAAATGATGGTGAATATAAACCGGTTCCTGTACTGGGAAGAGGGACTATCTGTCCAGTAGTGGATCACTTTGGCTTTGCTGAATTTGCTGTGAACATGTGGGACTAGCTTTTTCAATATTGCGAGTACAGCCGATGGATTATGATGATTCACATCCGACACAAATGCAAGATTGGTGTGCTCACATGCTCCTTGCATTGATTTGTGGTAAATCACTACTGGATGGATTGTTGCTGCTGTTGCATTCCAGTATGCTGATTGGATCTCATCATTAGTTTGACATAGGAAATTTTCTGCAAAGTCCATTTGGATGATAATGTGATCTTCCGGTAAATTCAATTTCAGTTCATGCAGAGCTTTATACTGATCAGCCACACGGGCAATATGTTCCAAGAACATCTGATACTGCTGTAACATCATTTGAATAAATTGATCTTTGCTTTGAGAAACCTTTACTATTCTCATTTTTTTCTTGCCTCCAACCTCAACACTTCTCCATTCCTCATATTCAACTGGCACATCATCTTGAACACCTGTCAACATGTCCTTCATGTCATCAAGAGACACCGACCTACCAACAACTTCTGGATTAGGCGAGGTTTTGATACCTAGTGATGAGAGGCATTTGAGCTTTAAAGCCATATTCTGGTGCTTCGTGCACAGGCACTTGTTCCTTGATAACAGAGATGTGACTTGGATGTGCTTTGGGCGCATCTTACAGAAAGCCGAATAGGATATCTTTACATCAGGATAGTCTGCCAGGAACCGTTCATGTGTGTTACCAAGATAATCGTTCAAGATTCTTGTTTGTTTCTTCTCGCCATTTGATTTTGTGACATCCCTTTTCCCAGGCATACACCTACTGATCTCATCCTTCTCCAAAAAAGAAGTGATTTGATGTTGTAGTTTCATCTTCAAGTGTGTCAACCGTTGCCGCTTAGATGTAATGAGCAATTTCTTGCCTCCTGTTACACTGAATTCGTGGCGTGTTATGCCTGTAGCTTTCGTTAGGTATCTAATACATCTATATTTCTTCACAATACGGCCACTAATAACTGTGTTGACGAATGATCTTTGCTTCTGTGAAGTGTTTTCCATGTGGGCAGCTCTAATTTCTGACACCAATGAGTTTCCAATCTGCAGCTGACGGACCACTGATTTTGGCAATGACCGGGGGCTAATCCCAGACTTTTTAATGTCATGTAATGTCTTGGACTTGGGAGTAAGTACCTCTTTGTTGTCCGATGTACATCCAGGTACCATTTTGTTTTTGCGCTTTAACAGTCGTTCATATCGTTTTTGGAAACGCCTTGAACTTTTCTGATGGGTTTCGAGTTGAGACTTCAATTTACAAATTTCATTTCTTGCCCGTGCCAGTGCCTTGGATCGTCGCATACAAGTCGGAGATCTCACAGGGAATGGAAGTTGCACAAGCAAACGGTTTGTCCCCCGTGATCTTGTCTGTGGAGATTTCAGAGTGGATGAAGTTACAGACTCAGATGTACTGGTGACTTCAGCTGATTGGGTACTATCGCTGGATTGAAGTGACCCATGTGATGAAGTTGGTTCCACAACATTGACTGCATTTGCAACTGCCTGCTTGCGCTTCTGCTTTTTCAACCTGTACCTCGTGGAGTACTCTTTATCTATGAAACGACGAGCTTTTAACTTCGCCTTTGTCAGCATGCCAACATGAACCCGATATTTGGTTTGTCGGAGCCTTTCCTTTTCCATATAAGTCATGTCATTTTGCTTCTTGCGATCCCGGTAAGCTTTTTGGATCTCTGCACGTGACTTGCTCATGATTGGCCTGAAATGAAGCATTGACATTATATAACATAACACAATTCCATAAAATCATCTTAAAATCTGTTAAAATCCCAAAATCAATTGGTAATTGTCTTAAACCAAATACGTTACCAATGATACCAGATACGTTACCAGTGAAACCAGATACGTTACCATCAGTTGTCTATCACAGCATAACTGCCCCTCAACGGAAATTAAATTGTGCATCTACTTCAAATTAGTGATTGGAACAGATGACAAAACTATTGCAAAAGAAGTAAGGTATACCTTCCTTTCAGTGCAAATGAAAGATGACATTTAGGTAGTTAAGATTAACATGGATACTTACCAAGTGTTGCCAAATTGTGTCTTGTTATTTCTATTGACAGCCGGAAGTGTGCTAGCAGACGACATCTCATCAAATCACGCTGCTGCCGAGACTGATTAACGCGCAAAATTCAAATTTCCGATTTTGGTCACGTATCTGGTTGGAACGTATCTGGTTTGGCTAATAAAGAAATGTAAAATAAGGCCAAGTGGTATGTGTAGTTATTCAGTGTAGTTATTCGGTAACACGTGGCTCTATATTTGGTATTGTGGTAACTTATCTGGTCAAAATCTCAAGTACCTTTCCTTTTCTCAGCAAAACATTGACCACCAGTGCTTTTGACCGCAAGCTAAATACCCAAGTGCTATTGCAACGATCTAGTCAATATTATAACCTACACAAACCCCCTATCAGCAATACCCCAATGTTTTCATGTATTTCTTAACAGGAATCTCAAATAGAGTAACGCATCTGGTCGGGTATGTTAAGACATAGAAATTGAAGTGAAAAAATTCCAAACTTCCCGGATTTGCGGCTCAATTGTTCATAAAACTTATTTATTGCAATGTTTATCCAAATCTAGGTACTTGCAGTCACAGATAATCAGTAAAATAATCCCACCAGGGCGTTTACACTGAGATACATGTAACCGGTGACACGATAAATAATGACAAATAAGGTTACATTTGGTCATCATATAGCTTTCATATCATCAATACAGGTGGATTTTGATGTGCTCCTAATATATAGGGCTACCATACACATTTTAAGAACAATTTGCCATACATAACTCAGCGTGCATTTTTTTGATGACACAAAGACACCTAATTATGTAAATATTCAAACTTAGTGGAGAATGAACCTTTATCTTTAATGACATAGCATGTACTCAATATAATAAACAAAGTATTCGTACAATATTGATTTACTCATCAATTATCAGGATCACTAACCAAAATTTGTGAAAGGTCGACGTTAAAATATAAAAGAAAGAAAACGTTTATGTTTATTATTTTTCCAGCTTGACCGTTGTGACTTACCTTGGCACAAGGGCTCCATGAAGTTGCCCTGACATCCTTCAGCACACTCCCCACTGGACTTATCACAGGTCAGGGCGTCTTTACATTGACCGCATCGTGACATGCAGTCATCCCCGTACATACCATCAACGCATTCTAGTGAGTAGACGACATAAATGTTTCTGATATCTTTACTTTTATGAGATAATGACAAGGTCGCCTTATATGAGCGACCGGGGAAAGGAGAGTTGTTTTCTTTAAAAAGAGAGAACAATAACAGCCTTTACATTAAAGATGCATCCCACCTTTACAAGTGGGATCTTGAAACCCTGGCTGACATCCCTGGTCGCATGTTCCATTGATCTTGTTGCAAGGCAGGTTTCCTTTGCATTGACCACACTCGGACTGACAGTAGTGTCCATGACGACCGTCACTGCAAACTGTAAGCATTTGTCGTCATCAACAAAAAGACAAAGTTTTGGGTTTGTTTCAACCTGATCACTCAACAATCCATCAACTAATCGCACTTTATCATCAAACTTTACAGCGTTAGAAAACTATCGTATTGTATTCCGTGACGGGGAGCCAATATTCAAGAAAATGGTAAGCATGTCCTGCCTAACCGGTAGCACTCGCCATTCACACGATTTGCAAAAAAGTAAGTATTTATTGCCCGACTTCACACAGCAGTACTCCCGCCACGATAATAAAAACGATATCATAATTTTGAATTGTTGTTGTCTGTTGTTTAACGTCGCACTCCAGCTATATGATGGCGGTCTGTAAATAATTGAGTCTGGAGCAGACAATCCAGTGATTGACATGTCAGTGAGCCTGACCAACCGATTCCGTTAGTCGCCTCTAACGACAAGCGTAGTTGCCTTTTACGGCAAGCATGGGTTGCTGAAAACCTATTCTACCTCGGATCTTCACGGGTCTAATTTTGAATTACGTCTGTTGTGTTCAAGTGCAGAGATTCTGCTGCATGTAAGTAAAGAACAACGTTTAAAATATATTCGTTTTGCAACAGAGTCGGCATTGGCATAATGTCTCGGCCCAAACATTTCTTTTGAAGTTTGCTCAGCATAGAAATATGCTACAGAGCAAGAAATTAGAACAATTGCCATTAACATTGTAACTGGTCTACTGACATGTCAGTATGCCCCCTGACATTTATTGCATTGTAAAATTACCTGGGAACTCTTAGTTTGGCATAAAAAGAAACGTAAACTTTGTCTAATCCTAATATGGCTATGTACTATCTAACAGATATTCTACCGTAAAAGGTCGCTGCAGTCTCGGGAATTCTGAAAATATCAATGTTCCTCTCACAAGACTAAGACACACTGCAACAGCGCACTTCGTAACCAAATAGAGCAATGAAATGCTGAGGCATACCTAAGTTATATGTGGATGATATAGTCAAGGATATACGCCAACGTAAGTAGTGTGATCTCACAATTTGACGCATTTTTATCTTTAATGTCATAGCATGTACTCAATATAATAAACAAAGTATTCGTACAATATTGATTTACTCATCAATTATCAGGATGATCATGACTAACCAAAATTTGTGAAAGGTCGACGTTAAAATATAAAAGAAAGAAAACGTTTATGTTTATTATTTTTCCAGCTTGACCGTTGTGACTTACCTTGGCACAAGGGCTCCATGAAGTTGCCCTGACATCCTTCAGCACACTCCCCACTGGACTTATCACAGGTCAGGGCGTCTTTACATTGACCGCATCGTGACATGCAGTCATCCCCGTACATACCATCAACGCATTCTAGTGAGTAGACGACATAAATGTTTCTGATATCTTTACTTTTATGAGATAATGACAAGGTCGCCTTATATAAGCGACCGGGGAAAGGAGAGTGGTTTTCTTTAAAAAGAGAGAACAATAACAGCCATCACATTAAAGATGAATCCCACCTTTACAAGTGGGTTCTTGAAACCCTGGCTGACATCCCTGGTCGCATGTTCCATTGATCTTGTTACAAGGCAGGTTTCCTTTGCATTGACCACACTCGGACTGACAGTGGTGTCCATGGCGACCGTCACTGCAAACTGTAAGCATTTGTCATCCTCAACAAAAATACAAAGTTTCAGGTTTGTTGAAAATAGTGGAGAACAAGTACCTACCCTGTGAACAGAGATCTGACCACCATCCAGGCTGACATCCTCTAGGACATTTCCCTGTCCCCTTGTCACAGACATCTGTATCCAGACAGTGACCACACTGAGATCGACAGTTGACACCGTGATGTCCGTCTCTGCATGCTGCAATGAAATGAACATCCACCATACGTTACAAATTCTCATCTTGCGATTGTCACGGAGGACACGAGTACAAAGGTTTATCTCGTGAATATAAGATATCACGGCAAAGTATGTCCGTCATATCTTATCAGATTGTCCGTATACATTTCCCACAACGAAAACAAACGTTCTTATTTCATGTGCAAATATTTGAATGTAGATCGGTGTTATGAATGATAAGATTGCTTGAATTTTTACACTGCTGCTTTTCCAAATATAAAATGTGTTCATCGTTTTTAAGAGTAAAAAGATGTATGAATACGTTAGTCGAAACACTGTTTAAAAATAAATGTAAACATAACCACATTCCATAATATTGACTGAATACAGGCTGTGCATGAATGTATTAAAAATGATCAATAATCCTGTATATATTCTCACAACTCAAGCACGTATCACTGGTCCACCCTGGTGCACATCCTCTCGGACATGTTCCTGTGGTCTTGGCACATACATCTCCATTTAGGCAGTTTCCGCACTGGGAGGAGCAGTTGATACCATAGAAGCCATCTTGACAAGCTGTCCATAGAAACAGTTACTTTAGTACTTGAAAACTCTAGTAATATGAGGCGCGGCAAGAGCATGCTCACTCAAACACTAAAAGGACATCGAAGTAGTTTAAAAGTGGGTACCTACCCTGTGAACAGAGATCTGTGAACCATCCCGACAGACATCCACTTGGACATTTTCCAGTAAACCTGTCACAGGCATCAGTGTCCAGACAGTGACCACACTGAGACGCACAATTGGCACCATAACGTCCCTCTGGGCATGCTGGAAACAGTAACAGTAACAACCGTCAATGGATATAAACACTTAGCGAGGGCACGCTTTAGTTAAGGTATGACTGATACGGGTAAAACTTTTGTCATTTTGTGAGCACCATATCAGGCACATTTCAGCACATTGTCCATGCTTCTGCATGTGGACACTATACATGTCTATCATTTAATGTTGTCAGCTTTCTATGTACATGTAGATTACCTTCAAGTGTCAGCTATGTTGCAATACAGCTGTTCTTGCAAACCAGATATATATTTAGGGAATAACGATAAGATATTTGATTCCAAATTAAAATATAAGGTAGCCAATCTTTGGTTACACAACCTCAAATTTCAAAACACAGAAGGTTTATCTCCACTCTTAGTGAATGACAAGAACACGTTAACTCTTAGTGAATGACCAGAACACGTTAAATTGGTACACTTATAATTACATGGGTAAATAGGTCAGCTATTGTAGAAGATTATGAAAATGGGTCACAGGTAGTGGAAAACATATTACTACGAATCATTGTTCAAGATTAATTAGTTATATTCTTGACTGGTTTCAAATAATTGTGATATAATAAATATTTGTTTTAAAAAAGCGTGATGAAATAACTTTTCATAGATATTAATTTTATTTCAAAGCAACATGTTGCACATATTGCATGAATGTAACACTTTCCATTGTTGTGGTTGCAGGACTAGTGACAGTGATAAATAATCCTGATCTAATTTATTTCTCAAATATGGAATTACTTGCCGTTAAAGCTGTTTTATTGTTGTTGTTTTTTTACATAGACTTACTGATGTTGTTGCGCTACGATAGAACAGGGTCACGCACCAAAAAGTTTAAAGTCACTTCACAATACCCATTGACGTAATTTGTGACATTTTGTTGCAAGCCACACCCGCGAAACACTGCCATGTGATGTCAGTCTAGCAACAGGGTTGCTGGGGTCATCGTGTGTGCATAAGCTTCTCTCAGTGATCTGGCATCTCCACACACAATGTCGTTGAATGGTCCCAGGGATGTGAAGAGTTTCAATATTTGTTTGCGAAACTTGTTACGGCAGTAAATAAGCACGCGCTTTGGTTTTTAAACACCGTATAATATCAGCTTATTGTCATTAAAAAGATTATCTCATCATGAGCGAGTAATAACACATTATTAAATTCATGTTTTTGTTTATTTTGAAGTTGAACTTATGACATTACTCCTAAGTAATATTACTACATATTCAGAATGACTGTCTCTCCACCCCGAACTTCGACCAGGCTGCTCTTCACATACTTCCGTACTCTTCAATGTCCTTGTCTGTCAAACACAAACCAGTTGTTTGACAACCCCTTTGTAATATGTTCACCATTAGCCTGATGATTTACTGGTGAAAATGGCCAGGTGGCACAACCCCACGGTCAACGAAACCACGCTGGGGTGTGGCTGAATGCCGCCGTATTTAAGGTGAAGACGAGTTGGCATTGAACCACACGAGGGACTGCTCAACTTTGCAGCATAGTGGTTGGTGTATGTTTTACTTAATTGTGCATGTTCTGAAATAGAAATGTTGCAAAAAAGTGCTTGTTTAGTACTAGTGTTCCAGTGGCTGACATCTAACACTGTTCTGATATCGAACGTATACAGTTCTAATGGGCAGCTATTGTTATATGCATCGATACGTAGGCTATTGATATTTCGATGTAGTCACATGCAAGGTTTTTGTGTGAATTGTGGGGTATCTATTGGAATAAGATGCCCAATTATAGCATTCTAATTTTGGCTAATCACTATCAAGAGTTCTTCAGTTGAAACAATTTGAAATATCTCCATCGATTTCTTTTTGCAAATTTTGCTTAGCCTTATTACTTCAGAAAATGCTCCCAAATTCGAATTCAAGATTAATTGGGACTTATTAAGATGGTCAGACATATGTACCTTCATAGTGTACATGAAATAACAAATATAATAGTATAAAACAAGATTAAGGACAAACATAATAAAATGTTTCTGAACAAAGCCTCCGGACCGGAAAAAATTTGTCATAAAGTATTTGAGAAAATTGCATATTTTTCGTTGAAGAATTGTATTCAATATGTCTTTACAGGCAAAGATATTTCAGTTAAAGAGAAAAAACAACAACATCATGACATTATTTAAGAAATGTTAAAACATTTGTATAGTTACCTCTTGTTGTATAACGATCAGTCGGGGTTTCAACCTGATCACTCAACAATCCATCAACTAATCGCACTTTATCATCAAACTTTACAGCGTTAGAAAACTATCGTATTGTATTCCGTGATGGGGAAAAGCCCATATTCAAGAAAATGGTAAGCATGTCCTGCCCAACCGGTAGCACTCCCATTCACACGATTTGCAAAAAAGTAACACTTAGTATTTATTGCCCGACTTCACACAGCAGTACTCCCGCCACGATAATAAAAACGATATTATAATTTTGAATTGTTGTTGTCTGTTGTTTAACGCCGCACTCCAGCTATATGATGGCGGTCTGTAAATAACTGAGTCTGGAGCAGACAATCCAGTGATTGACATGTCAGTGAGCCTGACCAACCGATTCCGTTAGTCGCCTCTAACGACAAGCATAGCTGCCTTTTACGGCAAGCATGGGTTGCTGAAGACCTATTCTACCCCGGATCTTCACAGGTCTAATTTTGAATTACGTCTGTTGTGTTCAAGTGCAGAGATTCTGCTGCATGTAAGTAAAGAACAACGTTGAAAAATATATTCGTTTTGCAACAGAGTCGGCATTGGCTTAATGTCTCGGCCCAAACATTTCTTTTGAAGTTTGCTCAGCATAGATATATGCTACTGTGCAAGAAATTAGAACAATTACCATTGACATTGTAACTGGTCTACCGACATGTAAGTATGCCCCCAGACATTTATTGTATTGTACAGTTACCTGGGAACTCTTAGTTTGGCATAAAAAGAAACGTAAACTTTGTCTACTCCTGATATGGTTATGTACTATCTAACAGATATTCTACCGAAAAAGGTTGCTGCAGTCTCGGGAACTCTGAAAACATCAATGTTCCTCTCACAAGACTAAGACACACTGCAACAGCGCACTTCGTAACCAAATAGAGCAACGAAATGCTGAGGCATACCTAAGTTATATGTGGATGATATAGTCAAGGACATACTCCAACGTAAGTAGTGTGATCTCACAATTTGACGCAGTTTTTATATTTAATGTCGTATCATGTACTCAATAAAAACAAAATGTTTAAGGTGTTGTTAAAATAATATTATCAACTGTTAATTTAAATATCAATCTTATGCGTGGATCGATGTTCCTAATATCAATAACTGGACTGTCTGGTCCAGACTTGGTTATTTACAGACCGACGTCATGTAGCTGGAATATTGCTGATCGTGGCGTTAAACGTCAAACAAACAAAACATCAATCTACACAACATTTACGTCCACCACGTTTTACAGAAACAGCATACACTCGTTAAGTGTGTACATAATTTAGCATCCGTGAAGATTCCGGGGTAAAATTGGTCTTCAGCAACCCATGCTTGCCGTAAAAGGTGACTATGCTTGTCGTAAAAGGCGACTAACGGGATCGGGTGGTCAGGCTCGCTGACTTGGCTGATACATGTCATCGATCCCAATTGCGTGGATCGATGCTCATGATATTAATCACTGGATTGTCTGGTTCAGACTCGATTACTTACAGACCGCCGTCATATAGCTGGAATATTGCTGAGTGCGGCGTTAAACAACAAAACAACCAACCAACATATGTTAGCAAGTGTAAACAATATTTTACAGCATGAACATTTGAGCGATTAAAAATGAAACTCCTTTTTTCACCCAAATGATTTGAATATTCGTATACATTATTTTCATTTAACGTGTGAAAACTTGAACATAAAATCTGGAATATTTTCCCATAAACGTTGAAAACTCCTTCCTTACTTATCTGGCAATCCATGCCACTGTACCCAGGAGCACAACCACCAAGACACTGTCCTGTGATTTTGTCACAGACTTCTGTCTTCTTTAGACACCGACACTGTTTGTCACAATTGGTACCAAACCAGCCGTCACTGCAAACTGAATTGATGAAAGGTTACCAACAACAAACCTTGCTAAGAGACAAACTATTGCTGTCTATCAACATCAAATTTTGACGTCTTGTATCGCTGCTGTGTCAGTACAATTATCAAAGGGTAACGTCATAAAAGCACAAATCATGAAGCTGGTTGTGCAAGCTTAAGAATAAGTTGAAAAAGCCAATACTTACCGAATACTTGTACCTCACACAATGTAAGAAAGCTGCTGGAAGCTGGTATCCGTATAGTGACGTTGTTGCCTGTCAGTGGCTGACGGCAGGTGACGTTAGCTATAGGAGGAGGATGTTCAGTTGACGACCAGTTGTAGCACATCTGGCTACCCACAAGCACCTCCATGCCGTTGTTTCGAATTATGTATAGGTATTCTGTGTACAATTGTATTTGTATAATCCATTGTATGCATTGGCATCAGCTGTATGAGGATCATGTTCAGTTGATGACCAATTGCGCCACTCATGAAAATTTTAAGTAGCATGTGTCACTGTTCTTATTTCTTCCAAAAACTGGTTATGTTTTTAATTTAGATCAAATTACGAATGAATAATGAATTATGTGCCAGCATTCCTATCACATTACATCAGGTGGACGTATAAAAGACCTGTCTATTATGTGGTACTCCATGTCGATTTATGACATCTCATGAA